TTGTCGCTGCATGGTTGTTCCGTACAAGTAAGTTGATTAACACGTAGAAAGCTATTTGTAAGCCACTTTAGATCATAGGTACTGCTTGTATAAGATGATGTACAGCGTCCCATTATGGTGACGGTGGATATTCCAAGGATAACCAGGTCTCTTTCCTGGAAGAGATCAACCCAGATGATGGAGCCAGTAAAAGACGCGCAAGGGAACCTAATTATCAAAGAGGAGAAACGAATAAAACGATGGGCTGATCACCTTAAAGGACTCTCGAATCGGCCATCACCTGCAAATTGCCCGTAAATACCACCAATAGCACACACGGAAACCGCAGTGGACACCACTCCTCCAACGAAGGAAGAAATCATGAATGCAATCAAGCTACTGAAGTCCGGGAAGGCAGCAGGACCAGACGGCAGTTGTTCTCAATCCATTACTGCAAACAGTTAGGAAAGAAGGAAAGGTATCAACCGATTGGAAGAAAGACTGACTACCCCGTCAAACTGCCAAAGAAGGGCGACTTAGGCCTGTGCAACAACTGGCGTGGAATAATACACCTGTCCACGCCAAGTAAAATAAGAAGTCGCATCATTCTGGAGACAATATAAGATGCACTGGATGCAAATCTCCGCCAACCGGAACAAGCTGGATACAGGAAAGGCAAATCATGTCCTGATCAAATTGCAACTCCACGCACCGTTATCAAACAAAGTATAGAATGGCAGTTAAATCTCTCTATATTTCAACTTCGAGAAGGCCTTCGGCAGTGTTGATCGAGAAGTAATTTGGAAACTACTTCAACACTACGACATGCAATGTTCAAATCTCCATTAACCTCATTCAACAGCTACATGACAATGCCACGTGATCCACAACGGGGAACTTAGCGAGGCGTTCGAAGGGAACACAGGAGTAAAACAGGGCTGGCTATTATCACCGTTGATATTCTTAATTGTGGTCAACTGGATTATGCGTCAGACTGTGGGGAGCCAGGAGTACACTGGACCATCGATAAGAAGACTCCAGAATATATGGATTTCGCTGATGACATATATAACTATTGTCACACAAACTCGAAGACTTACAGACGAAAGCCAACAAACAGGTTAAAGAGGCAGTGAAGACAGAACTAAAGGTGAACATAGAGAAGAAGACAGTGATGAGGATAACCAACGAATAGCAACAACAACAACAAACAGCACCATCAACAGGAGAGATTCAACAGAGGTTATTTCCTTCACTTATCTAGGAAGCATAGTTTTAACTACAGGCGGAACGGATGAGGATGTCAAAGTCAGAATCGGAAAGGCAAGATAAGCCCTCATCAACCTGAAACTAGTTTGGAAATCTTCCACACTCAGCATAAGGAACAAGATTCTGATTTTCAACACTAATGTCAAGTCGGTCCTTCTATACGGGTCAGAAACTTGCACTGCGTGTCACGAAAAGGATTTCCAACAGATTGCAGACTTTCATCAACAGCTGCCTTCGCTCCATACTAAAGATCAAATGGCCAGGGAGAATTAATAACAAGAAACTGGGGGAACAAACCAACCAAGAGCCGATTGCTCAACAAATATGTAGGAGATAATGTAGATGGATCGAGTATACGGTGAGGAGGCCGTCGAATGACATCGCGCGCCAGGAAGGCCACTGGTCGACTGGGAGCTGAATAGGAAGCGATGAATGGGTCGTCCTAGGGCGACACGGAGGAGGTAGTGTCAGGAAGAGATGAGAGATTGTGGGCAATCGTGGACCTAGCTGAGGAGGATGACAGAAAATAGAAAAAGGTGGAGATGTGCTGTTGAAGCCCTGTGTTCCACTCGGAACTCGAGGGAATAATAAAGTGGTAATAATATTTATTGAGAATGTCACGATGATATTTCCACTAGGAAGTAGTGACCATTCAGCCATAGGATTCTACCTTGTTCTCTGTGAGCACTTGAAGTAGGACGCTATGTGACTATGTCTATTCTATAGCCAGGCGGACAGTTCGGAGGCTTTCGTTCTCTTTAGAATCGCCCCTAGCATGCAATGAGGCATCTGTAGATGATTACTGGAAAGTGGTAAAAGAGTTTATTCACATTGTAGTATGGAATACCGTCCCTCCAAATACAACGCAGTCGGAGGAAAGATCTCCATGACTGTAATATGCAACGCATTATGCAAGAAAAATGGAAGGCTTTGTCCACGTGGCGAACATCCCTGAGTCAGACTACCCACGATGTATACCTAGAATTCAGGTATCGATGCAACACAAGAGTCAGAAATGGCACGAGGTCATTTCAGTCTAACCTCGTTGAAATCTGCTGGGGAACCCTAAAAGACTATAATGATTCATGTCAGAGAGAAAACTAACCAACTATGCAGCACGTGCCTTTGTAGGTCCAAACGGTCATTATCTCATCAGTCTGGAGATGACCGAAACATTCAGTTTAGCTTTCTACCAAACGGTTGAACTGCAATGTGGGTATTATCTGTATGAACTTGAATGGCGGCACCACTAGTTCACCGGAGGAAAACCTAGTGGCTACTCCCCACATAAACCCTGCAATAGTACTAGGGAAGCTGCAGAGACTCATATCTGGAAAATCCCCAGGTTGTGACGATATCAGGCCATATGTTCTGAAACAGTTCACCGAAGCTCTCTGCAGGCTATGTTCTAACACTCGATGGATTCGAGTAAACTGCCAAGCGCGTGCAAAAGATATACCCTTTCTCCTATTGTCAAAGGTTGTGACAGGCAAAATGCCAATGGTTGCAGACCATTTGCCCTACTCCCAAAAGTATCAAAAGTACTGTAAAGTGTTATTGATGATTACGTTAGGGAGCACCTGGATAGGACTAATGGACTCTATGAAGCTCAACATGGTTTCAGGAAAGGGTGGTCTTGTGTAACAAGCCCACCTTCAGCTTGGGACGATGGGACATCATGCTGGGAGATAAATACTCCAATCCATGTGATCTTCCTAGACTTTGAGAAGACACTTGACACTGTACATCATGACCTTCTCCCAGCACATAGTAACTCAGGCAGGTATAGGTGGGCCGCTTCAGTCATGGTTGAAAGTCTCCCTAGCTGAAAGGCAATTGTGCATTAAGGTCAGTATTTCCCGATCACCCCGGCACAGTTCGTCGTCAGAAGTATCGCAGATCTCTATCCTAGGGCTTGTGATGTTTTTGATTTTTATCAGGCTGCCCGACTCTTCCTTACGCTGACGACGTAAGGATCTGGAGAGCGGTAAATTGTTCGGAAGACTCAGATATAATGAAGGTAGATCTGAAACTTCTGGAAGACTTTGCGGTATACAATGTTATCACTTTCAGCTTGAAAAAGTGCGAAGTATTGAAAATACTCACCTGTGGGCTGCGGAATGCAAGTTACACCCTGTGCAACGAAAGCTTGACATACACAATGTCAGAGCGTGACTTAGGTATAGTTCTAAAGGAAAAAATTGACACAAGCGTGAATTACACCGGGAATGTAGCGAGTGCACCTGCAGTCATTTACTCCTCACATAGATAGTTAGGTGCACTCACTCCTGAGGTCTTTCTAAGGTTGTACAAACCGTACGTCGAACCGCACCTTGAAGTGCAAAATATCATTGCACACCTACTGTTTAGAAGAGACGCGAGCCCTCTGGAAAGAGTTCAAAGACAGGCGACAAAAGGAGTGACGGGTCTCCAAAACAATCCGTATGATATAGGGCTAAAGAAACTAGGTCTCTTCACACTTAGATTCCGTCGGCTTAGGGGGGACTTGGTTACTGCCTACAAGATAACAAATGACCAGAACCGCACAAAGAGAGGTGTTATCCCAATAAATACGTATTGGTTTCCTCATGGGAATCCTCGAAGGATAGCTCACCAGAGGACAAAACTTGAGTGCAGTCCATCTCTTTTTGCTGACTGCTGGAACTCCCTTACAGTAGGTACAGCTGCGGCACCGTCTGTGGACAGTTTTAAACAATGGCTGAACAGTCATGCGGCGGCACAAGCACTGACCTCAAACGACCTAGACCCTTAAATCTCATCCACTATTAACGGATAGACATCTCAACTAGTCGTTTTACTTCTTCACATTCTCTCCTAACTACTTCAGATATTACGTCCCTTGCACTGGTACTATTACTTATATTTAAAGACACATATACCAACTGCAAATTTAATTAGTTGTCTGTTTTCACGTTTCTTCTCTTTTACTTTCTTTAAATCTGCATAACCTTTACGAATTATATCTATTATTTTCTCTTTTCTTTTGACGACGACATCGGAGGACAAACTCTTGGACGGATCAACACTATTCACAACAGCAGCTCGGTCTTAACATACTTCATATAATTAATCTCACAACCACTCCTTCGGAATTCAATAAAGCTATGACAGTCGAATGGTTGGCGAACTACGTATACCAGGAACCTATACTTCACAATCAAGAAGCAAACACAAAGTAGTCGAAGTGATCTACGCTAGCTCGTAAAAATAATATTGGATATTGGAACCAAATCAGTTATCATATTATCAAATATAGCGAGGGTTACCCAAATAGATAGTATTCTGCTAGGTCAGTACGGATTCCTGTGGTGGAAAAATAGAAAACTAATCGTCGGAGTGCAAACAATGAACACTTTATAACTCATTTACGCTACGAGTTTATAGTATTCAGAACACTACCATTTTCGATGGATAATGAATCATCGGGAGAGGATGCTACGGGTTGATCATTTAGCCACATAAGTCCTGCGTGCATCGACCCAAACAAGTCCAGATTCAATCCCCGTATACAGTTCTGTAATAAAAGTCAGCAACTAAAATCCACTCATCTTTACATCTTCCTTTTCTCACTCTTTAGTTTAGTCACTATTTTCCGATTCGTACCAGAGATATATGCCGTCACTTATTCTTCAAGAAGTGAATAAAATAAAGCAAAAATAAATGGAGCAAATTAAACAATTTGCTTAGCACAAGCTATTAAAATTGAAACTCGATATTCGGAAAGGTAGGTAGATTTACCGCCACAGTCGAATTTCAAGGTCGTGATGACAAGAGGAGGCCAACTAGCCATCAGCCAATCAAAATCTGCCTATGGCGATTTTCGGAGAGACCAGTATGGTGTTCTTAACGTCTCTTGTTTTTGTGTTTTAATAGATTAATAGTTAATAGATTATTGACTGGAATTTAATTAACAAACAAGCATGTTAACCGGTCACTAATCTAGTACTGGACTGGAATGTGAACTCGCAACTAAATCATGAGTATAATTAAAGATAGAAGTAGGGCTGTAGTTATTTGAAATTGGAATTCGGGCCATAGTATTCCTCACGTTTCACACAAAAATATCCTGGGATGTATTATACACATCGTAAATGAGCGTTAATGCTTATTTCACAAACGAGTAGGTATTTTTAGCGTCTGAGGTTACGGGCTACTTCTTGAAACTTACAATCATTTGATTTCTGAGGGAAATGCATTTGAAAATATCGAAAGAATCACAGAAAGTTTGCCCTCTGGTTTCTGATTGAAACTCACTTTGTCCTAAATATTATTGACTACTGCAATTATTTGCTGAAATAGGTGGTGGATACATTTAGTGGGACTTGATTTTTCTTTGGTATGTACTGTCAGAATGCAGGATTAACATTATAGAGAGACTTGAATTCCTAAACGCTGGAGTCTAGCTGCGGTTGTAGACCACGCTTGTACCTAGATTTCAGATTTATTGGTTGAGAATAGAAGGCTTGGAGCCTATGTTAATCCTTTTCTAGTAAATCTCTGTGGTTGTCCAAACCGTTCTTGAACGAATCAATTGAGGTTGCAGACACCACTTCTTCTGGGAGTTGGTTCCAAGAGTTTATGACTCGGTGGGAGAACCAGTACTCAACAGCAATATGATTTCTTCTTGGCTTTTGAACTCTCCTGCTATGTTCTCTAAGGTGTTCCGACCTGGTGGGAAGGAGAAAATAGGTCAGGTCCGTAGTCATTATTTAAAAATTAAATCTTCTCTCTGCCTACGGTATGACAAGGAGAAGAGATTTAAACTGTCTAGTCTTTCCTCGTATGATAAGTTAGTCATGCCATGAATCATACGTGTTGCTTTCCTTTGAATCTTTCTAGAATAAGTGAGTCCCCTTTTAGACAAGGGCTGGCGGCCTGGATGCAGTTTTCCAGTCTTGACCTCACCAGAGATGTTATATAAGGAGGTGAACATATCTCTGGTGATTCTAGTGAAGGCTCTACGAATTGCCCATAATGACCTGAAACTACGTTCAGCCACCGCGCGACAGTGTGCTGTAGTTTTTAAGTCGTGGCTAACTATGACACCTAAGTCCAAGCGGGTCTGAAATGATGGAATTTTTATTCCTTCTAGTTCGTAGGAGCTGATGCTTGCTTGCCGTATGCGCATGGCTGCACATTTTGCTACATTGATTGGGAGCATCCATTCTATGGACCACTCTGACAATTTGTTGAGGTTCTCTTGCAACGTGGATGTGTCACTGTTGCCCTTCAGCTCTCTCCAAATTTTTAAGTCATCTGCGTATAGGACCATAGGGGAGTCGGTGAGCAGAGATAACTCATTGATATACAAAATAAATAGGAAATGTCCAAGTACCGTGCCTTGTGGCACTCCGCTGCGTACTGCTGTCCAAGAGGAGAGTTTCGAGTTGATCCTAACCCTTTGCCTCCTATCTATGAGTAATTCCCTGAGCCAGTTTAGTAAGCTGCCTTTGATACCAAGACTTTCCAACTTCATGAGTAGTCTTTTGTGGGGTACTTTATCAAAGGCTTTGCTGAAGTCTATAAAGACGACGTCAACGGGTCTTCTGTTGTCCCTGGATTTGACCCAGCTTTCTCTTGCAGTAAGAAGATTTGACAGGCATGAGAGGTTCCTTCGGAAGCCATGCTGTGCTCTTGATAATAAGCTTCTATTTTCTAGATATGCCATTATGCTTTTCTTGATGATTCTCTCCAGTGTCTTAATTAAAGTGCTGGTGAGACTGATAGGCCTGTAATTTGAAGGGCTTTGTCTTGATCCTCCTTTGTGGATGGGGGTTACTATGGCGTATGCCTAGTCATCGCCTTCCTCGACGGGTAATGTTAGCTGATATAGGGTCAGGCTGGAAAAGAGCCAGCGGCGGTCAAACGAAAACATGGCACTAATCAATAAAATCCACAACAGTTAATCTAAGCCACGTAGGAAGATGTAGACTTCCTGGTTGGGGCCCTCGGGATGGTAAAAACCAATGGTTGGAAACTATTGGTGACATGGCTCAAAATCGTTCTCAGTGGCGCAGATGCATCCACTCCTTGTGACTTATGATTTCCAATTAAACTTTTGTTCTCCGTTATTACTATTCCTTTGTCTCACACCACTGTTTACTGTCTATATTATGCATTTCTTCTACTTCCTTCTCTTGCTTTGCGTGCTACATAGATTGTGGCGACTTGAACTGCCGCACATATGTGCAAAGTTCTATGTCGAAAACCGACCGACCGACCGATGGCGTCTTTCCAGTCACGTGGTAACACTCCATTTTGGAGAGAAAGCTTGAAGATCGTAGTCAAAGGGCCGGCTTTGTGGGCTGATAACTCCTTGAGAAGCCTTGGGTGAAGATTATCAAGACCCATTGATTTCCCTGCATCTAGTTTCCTTAGGCAGTTGAGCACGATGCCTTGGTCGATGTCAACGAAATCTATCCCATGTTCTTCTGATGCAGCCAGAGCTGATCCTATAGGCAGTGACGACTCCTGAGTGAAGACTTGGGAGAAGTAGTTTGCCATCGCTTCTGCTTTTTCTTGATCTTCTTCGATTGTGTCATTGTCAATAGTCAAGTTTGGGACACCATTGGATGTTTTATTCTTGAAGTTCATGTACGAGAAAATTTTCTTAGGTTCTGCCTTTGCATTTTGAGCCAGGTGTGCTTCGAATTTCATCCTTGATTGGCGGATTTCTGCAATAGCTTTATTTCTAGCAGTGTTATATAATTGCCTGGTCTCAGAAGTTTCAAGTGTGGCAAACAAGTTCCAACATTTGTGTTTACGTCTAAATAACTTACGAATCTCTCGGTTTATCCAAGGAGGGCTGTGTTTCCGACCCTTTGGGACAGACCAACGGATGAAAGGTTCAGTTACTTGGGCGTAAAGTTGTTTAAATTGGTTCCATGCGGCTTCTACTTGAGACTCTGGGTTGATGTACCAGTTTACTGAGTTGGCTGCTGAGACGATTGCATTTATATCAGCTTTCCAAACGTTTGGTCGAGATGGGGTTTTGGCCCTTGCTGCCGTTGCTGTGAACTTGAAAGTGAGCACAGCATGGTCACTTCTTCCTAAAGGAGGAAGATGTTGTATGAGATCTACATCCTCACCATGGGAGAACACTAGGTCCAGAGTTGAGGAGGAGTGCTGTGAGTCATAGCGCGTGGGCTTGATGATATGTTGGACTAGAGCTAACGATATACTAGATTCCAGCAGTTTATAATCAAAGGAGTTGACTGAGGATAGACTGTTGGGGCATTGAAGTCGCCAACTACGAGACTTCGACATTTTGAGGTCCAGGAGCCTAGCTTCTCTATCAGGAAGTCATCTGCACTGCAGTCAGGACTGCGGTACATGGCAATGAGGTCAATGTCTTGGCCTATGCATTTAAGTCTGCAGCGTAGAAGTTCGCACGACTCACTTTCGTGAGCGAGTGCTTCGATACTACGCACGGTTAAGCATTTCTTAAGGTAGATGACTACGTCACCTCCTTTGCGGTTTAGTCGGTCCACCCTATGCACTTCGAAGTTTGGCAGGTTAACTTCGCTGTGAGTGACATCGGGTGTGAGCCATGTCTCTGTGATAATAATTACATCCGGGTTTCCGGAGTCTATCATGTTAACCGGCTCAGTCCGTTTATTTAACAGGCTGCGGGCGTTTGTGTAGCAAACTGTTAATTCAGTTTGGTGCTTCCCCGGCGTACCCACAGAGGTTTCGGGATCATTAAACTGCGAACTTGAACAACCCGAAAACCCTTAATCTTAAGGTTCTTTTCGCCGTTTCGGCGTCGTTCGCTTAATTCTAGGGCCGCAGACTGTCTTTTGACACGGTCTGCTAGGCTTAAGTCGGCGCGGACATATATGCCTGATCCTTTAAGTATATGACAGTTGCTTAGAATAGCATCCCTCTCTTCTTTAGAGTTAAGTACGACTTTGAGGAGACGTACAGGCTGATTTACTGTAGGGTCAGGCTTTTGGCCTATTCTATATACGCTATGTGTAGTAATGCCTGATACTGTTTGTGGCAGTGGCTTGTCTAAAAGGGGCTTAACCAAGTTAAGGTCATGCTCAAATCTAGTCTTGGGTTCGGGGGCCAGTGACTCTTCCACTTTGTGGAGAATGAGCGACCTGTCAGAGAGATCAGGTTTGCTTGCCGTGGCTTCCTTGCTCTGCGGCGTGAATGTCTTTCTGTCCTTCGTGGGCAGTGTGGCCAATGTATTGTCCTTATCTCGCTTTTTGCGAGAGACTACGTTACGCCATTCATTGGCGTTCTCCTCACTAGTCGTAGCAGGATTTACCTGCCTGCTACTCACCGGTGTGGATGAGGCTTGATCCACTAGTACCTGGGTGACTTGAGTTGCAGGTTTACGACCCCTGGTACGCCTCTTCTTCGTGGCAGTCTTTCCGTTACTGTCACTGGAGGGCTTATCCAGTATTGTGGGGGCAGCCTGGTTGTCTGGAATGTGGTGAGTGCTCTTCTGTGCTGAAGGGCACTCAGTCATTGACAAAGACTCATTAGGAACATGTACTGTTTTGTCGATGACGCTAGTCGCATCTTCGGTGTCTGAGAAGTAGTCAGTCTTTTCCTGTGATGGAAGACCCTTGCAGTCCATGAGCTTTAAAGCCCCGCTAAGAGTGGCAATGGCTTCTGTAATACGGAGTTTGGTAGTACTACAACAGTCATTGCAGAACCAGTTTGCTAGAGGTTTGCAGCAGCGTTTGTATGCTGCAGGAGTTAGGTTTGTGCACATACTGTGAAACCATCTCTTGCAGTTATCACACTGCATTCCCTCATCCACTGGGAATTGGCACATAACCCTTCCGCGGCGGTTTTTTTGGTGGGCATACTGTCTAGAACGGACTGGCGAAGAAATTTAAATATAACTTAGATGTATATAAACCTTTATAAATCAGCGATAAAAATCAATGAGTGCACAAAATATATATATATATATATATAACTATTATGTTATAAGACACAATTTCCTATAATTTAAATAGACTCAGATCTGAAAAGTAAACTAACTTTGATCAGAATAAACTGATTTAAAGTTAATCTGTAGACTTTTGGAGCGTATAACACAACAAAAGCCAAAACTAAACAATAGCTTGTAAAATTCACTCCCTTTTCAAAGTTCGCGCGGTAGCGGTGGAGTATGGATCCAGTCGTCTGATCTTTACATGCGTTCCTCACTCCAGGTTATAGTCATGGCAATTCAAGCATAAAAATAGCTTACTTTTATTTCGGCTCTTCAATGTTCATTATATTTTTAGTAGGATTTAATTCTTAAGTAAAGTTGTGGAGACTAGTTTCAGTCAAGTGATAATAACAATCAGTTGTTGGTTTGAGATCTCTTCCATGTACTGTCTCTCATGAGTAGAGGCTGTATTGTCATTACACAATTAATGTAACTCAATATATCGCACTAGGGCTTGGACTACATGCAGTAAGCGAAATATGTGTACAATGGTGTTAACTTTGGAGAATTGTACTATCTCTAATAGCACAGGTTTACGAATTTAAGTCTTTTTGCAACTAAGTGCTTAAGTAATAACAGTTTGGTATAAAATCGTGTACCGGTTAGTGGATCACTGTTTTCTGGAACTACCGTTTACTTCTAATGTCTCTTTTTACATTATATAGCGATAGCCATGAAAGGCACAGTTCCTCGCGCAAGCATCGTCGCCGTAGTCGTTCGCGTTCTCAGTAAGTGTTACTATTTCCAACACAATAGTATTTGGAAATGTTCTAAGAAAAGTTTACACCATATTTTGTAGTAGTTTTTGCAGACATAAGGTTTTGTTTCTGGTTTCAATTTTCACCTAGTCGTATTTCATTTTTGTATTCTTTGGATTATTGTATCACCAAATTACTTGACTTGATACGTGATAAATAGAACACCATATGATAGAGTTGTTCCGTTACAACCGCCTTTAGTGAACGGTGGTTTCAGTTAACGATATCCTAGTTGATTATCTAAACATCCGCCCTGGTTCATTATCTTATAGGTTCAGGTGTTAGAATAGTTTCTCGAAAGCATGTATTTTACGAACCCTTATGGAGCCAGCACCATTTTGCTTGCACTCCGACGACGCATATTACAGTCTGTTATTATCACAAATGAGCAGCACAGTTCTGCTATTCCAATTCGATTTTACTCGTACATTTTTGAAAAATACGTTAACATTAGTCACTATTTCTAAAACGATGGTTTTATTCATATTTAAGGAAGAAATAGCTAGACGCTTATCCTAGATCGACAGAAAGACTTCTATGGAGAAAGCCTGGCACAATATACAGTTGGCTGTAGACACAGCTGTAAAGGCTGTTAACAACCAAAAATCGTAAGTGAGAAAAAGCCAGTGGATTCCCACTAATTACTGCAAGAAGACTGATTCCGGCGAGCTCCGAATATGATGAAGGGCGAAAGTTGCTCAAATGCAAACTAACAAGAAGTCTCCGCAACGACCGTGAACAGTGGTGGGCGACAAAAGCGAAGGAGATGGAAATGGGATCGGAGATAGGCAACACCAGAAAACTATTTAGGCTTATTAGGGAAACAGGTGGTAAAAGCCAAATGATAAGTGAAACAGTCTCTGAGAAAGATGACGCCATAATTGGCTCTTAGGATAGACGACGAATCTTGGAAAGAACACTTTGAGGAACGATTTAATTGGCCTACAGCTATGCTTAACCTACTGAACATCCAACAATCCCCTGAATGGGATATAGACACAGGTCCTGCGTTCCTAACTGAGGTTTCAAAACTGTCACTGGTCTGAAAAGAGGCAAAGCAGTGGGGCCTGATGGAGTGATTCCAGAGGTGTTTAAAGACGGTGGAAACAGTTTACTATCTGCTCTAAGGTATTAGGGAGTGTCTGTGAATCAGAGGAAGTCCAGTCGGACTGGTGTAAGTCATTGATTATCCCGATATGCAAGAAGGGAGACAAGTCTTCCTGTGATAATCACAGGGGGATTAGCTTGACTAATATGGTATCTAAATTTTTAGGCTCAGTAATCATGCGAAGACTAAGTGGTGATTGGGGGAAACAAACAGGAGACAACCAGGCAGGCTTTAGACCAGGAAGAAGATGTAGCGATCATATCTTCACCCTTCGGCAGATTCTGGAACATAGGCATACCTACCGGCGTCCAACAACTGCCATATTTCTTTATCTAAGGGTGCAATTCGAGTTGTCTTATGAAGTAATGAAAACCAGTGGTGACCGTCAGGGATGCCCAATGTCCCCATTTCTGTTTAATTTCATCATAGATGTACTGCTGGACTCAACCCTAACTGACGTCAGAGACTCATGGATTGACTTGTCTGTTACCAGGGGATAAACTCGTTCACTTAGAATATGCAGATGATATAGTCATTCCACCTGGGTGAAGACGCTGGCGAAATGCAGAGTTTTCTGAACACCTTGAGCAGCAATTTTCGAATGTTTGACGCGTAATTCGCTCCTGGCAAATGTAAGACAATTCTACAGGACTGCATCAACGCCTAGCTTAAAAATGGGGAATGAAGTGATAGAGCACGTTGACCGCTTCACTTACTTGGGAAGTACTATCAGCCAGTGCCAACGGGTTGATCTCTGACGAAATCTCAGCTGAGTACGGATACAAAGGGCTAGTTTCGCATATGCCAGTTTACGCCGTCTCTGGCGTAGACGTGATATGCAACTATTAATCAAAGGACGTGTGTACTTCTCAGCCATCTACTCCGTCCTCCTTTATGGTTGTGAGACATACTGGCCATTGTAAGTTGAAGACGTAAAAGGACTAAGTGTCTTTGATCATAGGTGCTTGTGTTCTATTTCCCATGTTAGGTGGTGTAATAAGGTGAGCCATATGGAGGTTAGGTGTCGAGTGTTAGGTAAGGAAGAGAAATCAATCGACCAAGTTGTGAAGTTATGTCGATTGAGATGGTTAGGACATGGGTTACGTATGCCTAGTCATCACCTCCACGACTCTGGTGAAGCTACGTGGCTTGAGTTCACCAAATGCTAGTAATTGTCTTAAATCGTCCTTTTGCTAACCATACCGGATAATGTTCAGAGATGCGTTTGGAAAGTGCGCGCTTTGTGCGGCTAATATAACTAGCTCCACACGAGCATGTGAATTTATAAACACACATTAGAGTGGCCCAAAGTGGCAGTTTATCCTTCACACATCCATTAATCATTTGTCGGTTGTAGAAATTGATCCGTAGCTCAGCCGTAAAGAAGGCTTTCCTCAGTGATCTGCATAAGCGATTGTTCGGGATCTCAGCTGCGGTATCACCTTTATATTCAACGCTCATAAATAGCAGTTTCTTCGGCACCGTCTGGGTTCTTTCAGGCTTTTGCTTTAACTTCATGTTTTTCTCGATAAATCTTGGAGGGTATCCATTCTCTATCAGGACTTGTCTGAGTCGCTCCAGTTTCCCGTCGACTGTATCACTAGAACATATCCTTCTTATTCTTGAGGATAAGGAGTGGATCAGGTTTCTCTTTCTTCTCAAAGGGACCCAACTATAAAAATTCGTGTACTGACCATTCCATGTTGGTTTCCTATAGATCGATCTTTGAAGAGAACAATCAGATCTCCTTTTTAGAAAAACATCCAAAAATGGAACTCCGAGTTCACCTCTGATTCCGACGTGAATCGGATGGCATGATGTCTGTCTATCTGTTTTCGACATAGAACTTTGCACATATGTGCGGCAGTTCAAGTCGCCACACTCCATGTAGCACACAAAGGAAGAGAAGAAAGTAGAAATGCATAATATAGTTAGTAAACAGAGGTGTGAGACAAAGGAATAGTAATAGCGGAGAACAAAACAGTTTCATTGGAAATCATAAGTCACAAGGAGTGGATGCATCTGCGCCAGCCATTGAGAACGATTTTGAGCCATGTCACCAATTGTTTCCAACCATTGGTTTTTACTGTCTCGAGGACCCCAACCAGTCAGGAAGTCTACACCTTCCTACGTGGCCTAGACTAACTGTTCTAGATTTCATTGGCTGATTCCATGTTTTGGTTTGACCGCCGCTAGCTCTTTTCCAGCCTGGCCCTATATCAGCTAACATTGCCCGTCGAGGAAGGCGATGACTAGGCATACGTAGCACTTGTCCTAACCATCTCAGTCGATGTAATTTCACAGTCTCATCGATTGATTTCCCCTCCTCACCTAGCACTCGACGCCTAACCTCAATATTGCTCACCTTATTATACCACTTCACGCGGGAGATAGAACATAGGTACCTATGATCGAAGACAGCTAATCTTTTCATGTCTTCTGCTCTCAATGGCCAGGTCTCACAGCCATAAAGGAGGACGGAGCGGACTGTTGAGCATTACACACGCCTTTTGGTCGATAGTCAGATATCGCGTCTACGCTAGAGACGGCGTAAACTGGCATATGCGAAACTAGCCCTTTGTATCCGTACTCAGCTGAGATTTCGTCAGAGATCAACCTGTTGGCACTGGCTGATAGTACTTCCCAAGTAAGTGAAGCGGTCAACGTGCTCTATCACTTTAATTCCTATTTCTAAGCTAGGAGTTAATGTAGTTCAGTCCTGTAGCATCATCTTACACTTGACAGGAGGAGCGAATCGCATGCCAAACACTAGAGAAGATTGCTGCCTGTCAAGGTGTTCGGATGACCCTGTCTGCATTTTTCAGCGTCTTCACCTAGAAGGACTATATCGTCTGCATATTCTAAGCAAACGAGATTATTCCCTGGTAGCAAGTCAATTCCTCAGTCGCTGAAGTGAGTTTGGGGGATGGCGTGATGGCAGCTGTTGAACTCTTTAGTTATCATTTCAATGTCGGTATTCCCGTCACATGATGAAAGTATCATACATGAATCGTTGGTACAAATGGAAACTATCAATAGTAGGCCGTAACATACTTTTCTCCGAACTTACCAAGAAGCAGTCTGCAAGTAAAGGACCCAATGGTGACCCCTTTGCCACTCCGTCTATTTGTTTATAAAGCGTGTTGTTGAACTAGAATTGGACATTTAAAGTGCACCTCATTAGTAGTTCCTATAAGTAGTGGATCGGAACACACATGTCTACATTATTATCGTCAATGAATTTGCATATAAAGCAAATAGTTTCATTGAGAGGAACATTGGTGAAAAGTGACGTAACATCCATGGGTATCATTTTCTTCCCGGATACATTAGCATCACTTATTGAATCGACGAATTCAAATGAATCTGAAACACTATGCTGGCAGAGAATTCTGACAGGTAGGAGGATGTCTGCGAGCCATTTGGCAGTAGCATGATATGGGGAATTTGTCATATTCAAGGTTGGACGTAGTGGTATGTCCTCTCTGTGCACTTTCGGCAGACCATATAAACTGGGAATTAGGAAACCTGAGGGTCGTATTTGCTCAAATAATTATGAGCTGATAATCGATTCATTCTTCATCTTCAGCATTTGTGTTATCTTTCCTTCAATTTATTCCGTTTGGTCTTTCTGGTTACTTTCTTTTGAAAATTTGTTTTCATCTGACATGACGGATAACATTTTATCGATATAGTCTTGGCGATTCATCAGGACAAAACCAGCACCTTTATCGGGGCGGTTCAGAACCAAGCCTTTATTCCTTAAAATCTCACTTATTTGCTTTCTGTGCTCGGCTGAAATCAATCTTTTGACATTTGCTTTTGTATTGATATATTGATGGCAGCTATTCAATACTGTAGACTTGAATTGTTCATACGATTTGTTGGACACAGGGAGAAGGTCATTTGTCTGATGAGTCAGTGCTTCAAACTGCACTTTAATATCCAAGTCACTCGAATTTGTCGAAATATCACAGAATTTTGGACCCAACGACAAAGCTTGCAACTCGACGGGAGTTAATGATATACTAGAGTAGTTGAAAACGCATTTCTGGTGTATTTATTTATTTATTTTGATTTACAGCTTGATTCCACACCGTATTTTCAGTACAAGTGTGGAATTTTCAGCATGGATATCGGTAGCCCAAATTCAGGCTGACCATAGATATCGGGTGTGCGCCGGCAGCGGATCGAACCCCGGACCATGTGCATGGTCGGCGAGAGTCCTAACCACTGTGCCACCGACGCACATGAATAACTGTCAGTGGCTTTGAGACTGCGAGTTTCAGGTTTACATCTTCACAACGTCTTTTTGAAACTGAATCGATGTAGTCCATACAATTTCTCTGGTCGTCTTCTGTCACCTCAAATAGACCATGTGTTTTTAGTAAAATGTGTCTTTCTATTTCTGGTAGTCGAGATTTTATTTCATCGATCACATTCAGTGTATGACTTTTCAAAGAGTGGGTGGATGTGATTGCAACGAAGACATTTCCAGTAGTGCTTGGGATATTCTTTCTTATCACTACAGCTCTTTAGAAAACTGATTCTTGTGTTCGCTATGGCAAGCTTGACAGAAAACTTGAGGAACGTATCAAGTATTTCAACTGTCACAGGGTTCTTGCTCTGCTTCAAATTACCGAAAATACTCATTGAGTCAGGAAGAAAATATAAGACAACTTTGTGCTGTTTTGTGCCACGTAATTTACAATTTTTATTTTTTACTTATGTCACCCCCTATTACTCAATAATAGACTAATATACATTTTTGGTAAATGTAAATATGACTGTACAAACAATAGAATACTTCAAAATTAAATCGCGGCTGGTTCTTTCTGAATACGAATTGGCTGTCGTAGATTTGTAAGGTGCTAGATTCGTTTTACGATCAAAATAATTAGATTCAAAAGTGTGTACTTAGAGTGAATATTTTTGAAAGCACCTATTTTCAGCAAATACCTACTCACGCAATATGCCCCAAGTTAATATAATGTTACGTAGTATGTCTTTAAGTCGTATTTCCTTAAACGCAAACGTTAGTATTGATTTTGCTTTTATTATACAATGCATCGACTTTTTATTTTAGTGAACGGGACAAAGAACTGCGTATACAAATGAAGTGAGTTTTTAATCCATGAATGTTTACTCGAATTATGTTATTTCTATAGACCTCTGGTGCTTGCTTCGGAGAATGATTCAAATCGACAAAGTGAAATCAATTACATCGAAGGATCAAGTTTCATACAGAAGGGTTTCTCTTCTTCACGTAAACTAGCGACAGTGAGTTTATGTAGCTCTAGGTACAGATTGTTGTTGATATAAATGTCTTTGCAGCCAGCACTAAAGTTCTGGCTGCTCTTTGAAGGTACCTGATGTAAAGCCTGCTATTTTTGCCTATTCCCAGGTTCTAGCAACAATTAGTCTCTATGACTCCGAAGAAATTTGTTTGTTTTATCTGAAGTCTAAATCAGCGTCGTTTAATAATCATATGTGAGAGTGAACCTAGATAGTATGCTTTTTTTACTGGAAATTCAGATCAGTTTCCTACTTCTATGACAATAATGAACGAGAGATCTTACTGACAGGAGTTTCGTACTACTTTTTGGCTAATAAAAGCGCTTCAAAGAATAAGAAAGATAATACTAAACCACAATCGTGATAGAGCATTTGGAAATTACTGAACATACATTTTGGTTTAAATAGTTCTTAATCAACCACAAAGCAAATTTTATTTTGGCAAAGTCTCACAGTGTTATACAGTAATATTTACTGATGACGTTTCAAGCACAATTTATTGCTCATAATCATATCATGGTACTCACACAACTTTTTTGCTTCGTTTATACACATGAGTAAAAATTGATTAGACATCTGAACAAAATCAAAATAAGACTTGCGTTAAGCAGAAAGGAAGATAAAGTACATTTGGAAATAATATTAGTGTTATCAATAAAATATAATAGAATGGGAAACAAGAAGAGTGTTGTTAGTCAGTAAGATCGGGGATAAGATGTTCTGTCCGTAAAATAAAATAAAATTAAACCCCGGTGGGTGTGTACTGGTGAAGAGTCCCAAACTAGGACGAGACAGCTGTCCAGTACTCCCGGGTTTTCCAATGGTTGCTGAGAACATAAGAATTCGGCTAAGTGTAGAATGATTGAACCCGAGATGATAAGTAATTTAGAAAAATTTCAGCAGTTGCACTGCATACATTAACATACAACCACACAATAGGGGGGGGGGCAGAGTGAAAATTCTAAAAAATAATATAGGTAGATGGAGAGAAAGATTGATTACTGAATCCTGGTTCATCAAGTGTACAGCTAACACATGCAATGGAAATGTCTCAACTCAAATACCAGAGATATGGAATATGTTATTACCAATCAAATCAAAAAGTAACAAGTAATGGTAAGATTTGTTTTATTTCAATTCACGTTGTAACACTTACATGTTATTTATTTGATTTAAGTATTGGTTTGCAGGGATTTAACTGATTGATTACAGGATTTAATCATGAGCTAACATCGGTTAGAGAACCACTGGAAAACTTAGGAGTACTGGACAGCTGTCTCGTCCTAGTTTGGGACTCTTCACCAGTACACACCCACCGGGGTTTAATTTTATTTTATTTTACGGACAGAACATCTTATCCCCGATCTTACTGACTAACAACACTCTTCTTGTTTCCCATTCTATTATATTTTATTGATAACACTAATATTATTTCCAAATGTACTTTATCTTCCTTTCTGCTTAACGCAAGTCTTATTTTGATTTTGTTCAGATGTCTAATCAATTTTTACTCATGTGTATAAACGAAGCAAAAAAGTTGTGTGAGTACCATGATATGATTATGAGCAATAAATTGTGCTTGAAACGTCATCAGTAAATATTACTGTATAACACTGTGAGACTTTGCCGAAATAAAATTTTCTCCATAAGGGAATTATACTTTACCACAGTGACCAAGTTCTGTTTTTTCGTCAGTTCCTAATTAAGTAACTGGTTTTCATTTGCTTAGTCTTTTCAGATGATCAAACCAGATTCACAATCGTGCTTGGCAGGTGTAAGTACATCTAGTAATTACCTCACAATGATTGCAGAAAAGGCTCATGAAGCAGCCATTTTTGGCCATTCCTCCGTTCTTCTTCCGTCTTTTCTTGGTACTGATCCAGCGGAGGCAAAAGAACGTCTGGTATCGTCTGTAGACACAGTGAAACAATTAATACATCACACGGTATTATTTTCTTTGCGGAAATACTTTTCTTTACCATTTCTATGCGTATTTTTCTCATAATAATTTGTAACTTTTAGTGAATACTTTATTACTTTAAAAATATAATTCACACTAATCGCTCTGTGTGCTAGGATGAGGGTTGCGTCTGAATGAGTGAAAACTGCGTGTTTACTAATCAACATGGTTTACCATCCATTGGGTTATAAATTTAAACGTCTCTTCCATTGGACAAAGCTTGTGATACTCCTCACTACAGTTTTGTAATAGTAACTTGGACTTAATTTGTCAGTTGCATTTCTCCGTGTATATTTATGGACTGAGAATCAACTACTAATATCATAACTAAGTGTTTATGTGACATTTTTTGCAGTGTGTTCTAATTTGTCTGTATAAATCACAATGTCTCACCTGGAACCTCTTATTCGGAAATTTTGTGGTATCTGTAATCTTGGCATTCGAATTCCTGTATCAGAAGAGAAAACCGATCTAGTCTCTTGAATGTTGAATGATTAGAGGTAAAAAGGTGTCAAACAAAATGTGGTATATAACTGTAGAAGCCGATGAAGAAGTTATTGAGTATTCTTTGTTCACCAACCAGTCTTTTAAAATTTTTAATGGGTCTCTTTAATCAATTGAAATGTTATTTAATTCACTGCTGAATGCAGTAACGAGTCCCAGATAGGACGAAATGCTCATCCTCGATTCCATTGCTAGTCACCATCCACCAATTAACTTCCAATTAAAATATTGTTAATTTATTTTTAGGCAAATATGCTTGCTGCACTAAAAAGCTAACTTCTTTTTACTTTAGTAAAACACATTGTGTATTCTGAATCCGAAATTCAAATAAGAGGCATCACCAACATTCCAGTAGATTGATCAATTATCATCTGTAACTGAATTGCAGAAACCATTATTCAATAAATGATTACAGTAGCCATCATATTAAAAACATTCACGTTATTAAATTCATTAGAAAGGGTGTAAGTGAATAGTACTGTTTTCACTTAAATCTCCTCAGCCTTTACTTCAGTTTACAATTAGTTGTGTTCTCTGAGCTGGTTGGTTTAATTGCGGACCTTTTGTCGTCCTTCCAACTAACTGCATATCTTTCCTACTTCGCTAACGGGACATTTAACAATATCGCTTATATGTCTAGTGAGTGATGAATATATTCTTCTTACACACATTTCACTCAAGTAACTCATCTTGTCCGGTTCGTAAGACGTCAAGGGAATACTGAGTATTCTCATTCTGCTCTTTACCGGCGAAAGTAAGAGAATAATAGGTGTTATTAAAGTAAGTCAACAGTCTACTCAGTTATCAACAATGATGTGCCATCCACATAACGGCATTGTTGGTGATGATACGATATTGTTTATCATGTTCTTTCTCGTGGTCTGTTTTCATGTTTCCCTTGAAAAATGTCTGTTGAAACTGTCGAGCCCATAGTGGTTCCAGCTACCTGTCAAAAGCGTGTGTTTTTGATGATGAAGTAAACATTCATCGTACATTTGAGGAATAATGCTCTGAGGCTGGACCGAGGAATCCCAAGACCGATTTGCCTTTCAGTGATTCGTTTGTACATGTAAGCAATTTTAATCCATATGAGGGGCCCATGTGATTGTACAGATCCGGGAAATTAGTGACAACAAAATTTTGTTTACAATTAATAACGGTTTTTTTTATTGCAGTATGAAATATGGCAAGTGTCATTTCTTCATTTCTACACAGATTTTAAGTTCACGCTTTTATGGTAGTAAAACCTAAGTATTATGTGTCTGGAGTCAAAACTTCTTACTATAGGTGACTTAGTCTGACCAATCTGACAACAGCAAAAGTCCGCCGTAAAGTCATTTTAAGCCTTGTGTTTTGATAGAATAAGGGCTTATTGGGTTTTATTCGCTACTTTTGACCGAAAAAGTGTATCATCTGAATTCAACTTTGTTTAATTGATTAAATAGTGAACAGACTATTGAGTTTTTATTTTTCCCAGATACATTTACCTTCTTTAGTCTATTTGTCTCCAACCACTGTTTGTAAGCTCCTACTTTTATTATGGTTATAATTTTTCTGAAGCGGCCGTATAAACACTTTTAATGCTTAGTGCTTATTTTGTCTTTACGTTTTCATAGCTTGATAAATCTGATTCATCTGCATGGAATATGTGGCTCACAAGACTCGCTGAATTCAAGGAACGTCGAGCAAATATGCTTTCCCGCTCTAATACTTTCAAAACTAATCAAAAGAAAAAAATCAATGGTTTAGGATAATATTATTTTTCTTTTTATATATACTTTTCATTTGTAAACTATTTGCAAATTGTGGATTTTACTATTTTGCGTCTCTAATTACTTTCATATATCGTAAATCAAATGTGTACCATTGTACCCAAAATGTATTTAAAATTAATGGAAAGAACCTTGGACTTTCTGCTGAATTCTCAGACTTAGTTGAAATTTGAATGCATTAAGAATGAATTGCTTTAAGCAGTATGTGAAGAAAGGCAATCGTTAGGAAGTAAAGGTCAATTTGAATTTGTTCGTGCATTTATCAGGAAAATGTGCTTTCGAAATTATAGAATTTTTCTATATTTTGCGGTTCCGAACCTTAATTTATCAGTGTTCCTATTTCGCTTAGAAGTAGAGACTTCATTTCATTGATTTTCCTTCGTGTAATAGTAAAATATGAAGCTGATACCACTCGTATGATTACTTTGATTACTCAATCCAATCCTTCATTGCCGGCAATGTCGAATTTTGATTGATACTGCATGATAACTCAGGTTCTATCAAAAGTATGATGAAATCCCTTCTGACTGGACGTATTATGACAGTTTCTTTGTATTAATTTGCTTTGACTTTGTTATATTTCATAAGTCAGTTAATTCATTTGCTCATGGAACTGCAGTTATTTCACGTAACTTTCATTCAAGAGCATAATGTAGAATGCAGTCATTTAGTTGATGTCCATTCATTTGAAACTCACAAAGCTAGTCATTATACACATTGTTATCTGGAATCATGATAATGACCTTAGACCCTCAACATTGTGTAAACAACTTATACTATGGAAATAAGTGCTTTTAGTTAAACATCTGTTCAAATAGCCTTTACAGGATACCAGGATCCTCAGGAACATTCTCGCTAGCCAGCATAGCTCGTCGGGTTGTCGCGGTATATGCAAACCTGACCATCAACCAAGGCAACAGCCATCGATCGGTTAACAGATTTTGTAATTACTCCGTGGCAATAACTATTTTTGAACTCGGGTGGACTCGAGTGTGATTTAGATTTTAAAAGAAACCAAGATATCTGTTGATCTTCAGGAATTATAATACTGGCAATTAATAATTTTAGTATTTAACACTAGAATAACCAACCCAACATACGGGGTTTTTGTTTCAAAAAAAATATTTGGTGCCTTTAGTACTGTTAGCGCGATATTTTCAGATATTCGGTCAATGGACTAAATTCCACTTCTGTTTTTAATTAAATACGTAGTCATCGTTGTAAGTCGCGCTTTAACAGTTAGGTTACTATAATCTCCGGCTGAATCATTTTGCACACCGTAGTCACTGTGTATCACATTAGATTGCTTTGGTGAAAATATGTTCCGTGCAACGTTCTACAATGATCTGTCTATCTAAATTGTTCACAATACTATGTATAGCACAGGATGCCAGAATAAGATTATTCAGACCAATAGTTCTTTCTTCATAAAATAAGGCAATACACTAAAATGGATCAAAAAAGTATGATAAAGTAGCAATTCACTTCAGTTTAGAAAACGAAATGCTCATACACATTCATATTAACAGGGGATTCTTATGTTCAACTAGCACCGATGAACCAATCGAAAAAGCGTATTGGATGTATCTACTCTGAGTCATGTCGGCAAAGATTACTATTATTATTGTTCCCTTGTGTTCCGAGTGGAACACAGGGCTTCAACAGCACATCTCCACCTTTTTCTATTTTCTGTCATCCTCCTCAGCTAGGTCCACGATTGCCCACAATCTCTCATCTCTTCCTGACACTACCTCCTCCGTGTCGCCCTAGGACGACCCATTCATCGCTTCCTATTCAGCTCCCAGTCGACCAGTGGCCTTCCTGGCGCGCGATGTCATTCGACGGCCTCCTCAGCGCATACTCGATCCATCTACATTATCTCCTACATATTTGTTGAGCAATCGGCTCTTGGTTGGTTTGTTCCCCCAGTTTCTTGTTATTAATTCTCCCTGGCCATTTGATCTTTAGTATGGAGCGAAGGCAGCTGTTGATGAAAGTCTGCAATCTGTTGGAAATCCTTTTCGTGACACGCAGTGCAAGTTTCTGACCCGTATAGAAGGACCGACTTGACATTAGTGTTGAAAATCAGAATCTTGTTCCTTATGCTGAGTGTGGAAGATTTCCAAACTAGTTTCAGGTTGATGAGGGCTTATCTTGCCTTTCCGATTCTGACTTTGACATCCTCATCCGTTCCGCCTGTAGTTAAAACTATGCTTCCTAGATAAGTGAAGGAAATAACCTCTGTTGAATCTCTCCTGTTGATGGTGCTGTTTGTTGTTGTTGTTGCTATTCGTTGGTTATCCTCATCACTGTCTTCTTCTCTATGTTCACCTTTAGTTCTGTCTTCACTGCCTCTTTAACCTGTTTGTTGGCTTTCGTCTGTAAGTCTTCGAGTTTGTGTGACAATAGTTATATATGTCATCAGCGAAATCCATATATTCTGGAGTCTTCTTATCGATGGTCCAGTGTACTCCTGGCTCCCCACAGTCTGACGCATAATCCAGTTGACCACAATTAAGAATATCAACGGTGATAATAGCCAGCCCTGTTTTACTCCTGTGTTCCCTTCGAACGCCTCGCTAAGTTCCCCGTTGTGGATCACGTGGCATTGTCATGTAGCTGTTGAATGAGGTTAATGGAGATTTGAACATTGCATGTCGTAGTGTTGAAGTAGTTTCCAAATTACTTCTCGATCAACACTGCCGAAGGCCTTCTCGAAGTTGAAATATAAAGAGATTTAACTGCCATTCTATACTTTGTTTGATAACGGTGCGTGGAGTTGCAATTTGATCAGGACATGATTTGCCTTTCCTGTATCCAGCTTGTTCCGGTTGGCGGAGATTTGCATCCAGTGCATCTTATATTGTCTCCAGAATGATGCGACTTCTTATTTTACTTGGCGTGGACAGGTGTATTATTCCACGCCAGTTGTTGCACAGGCCTAAGTCGCCCTTCTTTGGCAGTTTGACGGGGTAGTCAGTCTTTCTTCCAATCGGTTGATACCTTTCCTTCTTTCCTAACTGTTTGCAGTAATGGATTGAGAACAACTGCCGTCTGGTCCTGCTGCCTTCCCGGACTTCAGTAGCTTGATTGCATTCATGATTTCTTCCTTCGTTGGAGGAGTGGTGTCCACTGCGGTTTCCGTGTGTGCTATTGGTGGTATTTACGGGCAATTTGCAGGTGATGGCCGATTCGAGAGTCCTTTAAGGTGATCAGCCCATCGTTTTATTCGTTTCTCCTCTTTGATAATTAGGTTCCCTTGCGCATCTTTTACTGGCTCCATCATCTGGGTTGATCTCTTCCAGGAAAGAGACCTGGTTATCCTTGGAATATCCACCGTCACCATAATGGGACGCTGTACATCATCTTATACAAGCAGTACCTATGATCTAAAGTGGCTTACAAATAGCTTTCTACGTGTTAATCAACTTACTTGTACGGAACAACCATGCAGCGACAAATGGCGATTTTGGCTGACGTGGGCGCAGTAAAACAAATCTGCCTGTCAATAACCAATATTAATCTGCATTCAGTACAATTCACTTCTGGTGTTACTTACGATAAAAGTGGAGACAAAATTATACAAATAAATCACCGATTTCAAATTAATACCCAATTTGCATATAAATCAAGAATAAGATACGATGCCTCACACAACAATGTTATGTGGAGGAATTGACTTCAAGCTTTATTTTTTCCCCAAATATTTGTAATCCATCCAACACATACTTGGTTTTTTCGTTAATGCGAAGACAATATTTCTACATTTCTTAATGTGCTCCATTGAATGACTAGTTAGCAGACTGTACCCACAAACTAATGTCAAAAAGGACAGCAATCATGTAATTTCACCATAAATCAAATTTAAGTAATTTAAATAATACTTATCCATGCCTGTAAAACTGGTGTGTTCTACATAGATAGGAATAAATATATATTATTATCATCAAGTCGTCGAAAGAGCAGAAGTCTCTTCCTGTATTATCTGCTCCCAGTTTGTCTTGCATTCATGTCGCCCATGAGGATTTTGATATCGCCATTTGGGATGTTGTCCATTACTGTTTGTAGTTGTCCGTAAAATTCTCCCTTCTTCTCTTGTTCCGCGTTGCTTGTAGCACTGTGCGTAGCATTGGATGATTGTGACCTGCCTTCCTGCCTTTTGAGTTGAATCTTGCTGTCATAGTCCTGAAGAAGTAGATTGGTTCCCACTGCATTAGGGTTTTGGCTGTCACTGGCAACATCATGTTAACCACTCACTGCCTTCAGTGTGCTCATGGTTGTCGTCTAGGTGACCACACCGGAGTAGATTACTGACTCTCCAGTTGACAATTTCGATAGTCCACATCCATTCCATCTGCTCTCGCAGATTCCTAGCACTTCTATGCCATATCTTCGCAGTTCTTTGGCTACCTGGGAAGCCTTCTCAGTCTCGTACATAATACATACATTCTATCTACCTGTTCTTATTCTTGTTTTCATCGAGAGAAGACACATCGACTGGCTTCCCGAAGGCCTTCACCAGCCCGCATCATTTTGCCTCTCCGATTCGAGCGAAGAATAAGATTAGTATTTGAATTTTTGTATTTTTAATATATTTGTTGTTCGTTGAGGTTTCTGCTGCAGTTTGAGTGGTTTTGTGGTGTAGAGTCGCTAGCCCTACACCCAACCATCCCTCTTTATCCGGTGTTGAGACCGACTAGCGAGGTTGTAAACTAGGCCAGGCCCTCAAACTATTAGCAGGCGTCTGTTAGAATACTTTTGGATCCTTCCCGTTAATACTTGGATGGAGGTATTTTACCGAATGCCTTGTACTTGTTCCACAAGACATTTTCTGATATAATTGTAATTTATCTCCAATGTTTATTCAATGTTAACATTAGTGGATCTATTACTGTAGAACTTGGAGAAGAATTTATTGATAACAGTTGTTTTGTCGAATTATTTTTGTTCTGAATAAATTGTGGCGCTGTTTGAGTTACAGTTTTGATCACTTTTTTAATTTCCTGAATTTGTAGCAATACATTTCATTGCGAAGGGTTGATTCAATTGTGACTTAAAATCATTTTAATGCTCATTTACAATTATTTAGAATTTGTATTGCACGGACATGATTGTTTTTGACGTGTTTTCTTTTTCACGTGATGGCTTATAGAAAACTACCTTTTATTTCAAAGTAAGTTTAATACCCTCTTTTCGAAGATTTTATCTCGTGAACCTTGAGAAACATTTCGCTATCACATGTTGGTTAGATTTTTCACAAGTGTTGGTTTTATGACTGTCATATTTTGAGTTTACTTTAAATAAATGTGCACATTAAAAGTTTTCAGTTCAAAGATGTTAATGTGTCTGTATTTTGAGTGACTATAAAGCACGAAACAGATAAATATATCTGACGAATCACTAGTGATTTATTTTTGAAGGAAATCTTTCGTAACAATCTATTGTTCTACGATAAACACGTTTGTTATCTTATCCCAGAAAACGGGCTGATGTTGTCTAAGCAGTAATTCATACAGCATTAAAAATTCTGTCATGATGAAAACAAAAATCATGGTTTAACCACTACTAACTCATTATTTAGTTGAAACAGTACCTTCGTTGGTTCATTCACATCTTTTGTATCAGGTTCGCCACTACTTTTCTAATAAACTTATAACTTGATCGTGTGTAGCCTAAAGTCATTTGACATAAAAACTTCGAATTCAACCAATTGTTTTTGGTTCTAATCACGTATTTCGTTTTTATGAGTATAATAACTTCTTTGATCCCACAGGATTCATACTGTGCAAACTATTATAAAAACCTTTATGTTACTATTGTTTATATTTATATATGAGAAATCCATAAATTCTTATGAAATGATATTTCACCTCATACAATCGATCAAATGACTGAATAAATAATAAGGTCATCCTAAAACGTGACACGTGAACAAAATCATTTGACTCTCTTTCATTGGTTGAGGATTCTTTTGCCTATAGTTTGTTCAAAAATTTATACATAAGACAGGCTTGGAAAAGTGATTTTTCTAATAAGTGAACTTATATTCTTCTTTTTCGCATAGTTCAACATTTATTCTTTACCATAGTATATCTTATGAATGAACATCTTTATGAATAATGAATTTAAAATCCAATGTTGATATTAACTACAATAATACTGACGACGATAACAAGTCAAAGTTTTTAGAAACTATGAAATCTATTATAAAGAAAGATGATGCAGACCAGTTATTGAATATACTAACAGATCGTAGATGGGATATTAATACAACTAATATAAGTACTAATGAGGAAGATAAAATTAATCCTATGGAAAAACAGTCTCATTCCAGTCATATACTCTTAAAAAATGAAGATAAAGCAAACTTACTACATGTAAGCTCGATTTTATTTATTTTTAACAGACACATTTGTATTATCTGTTTACTAAAGAATGTGTGTCGGTGGTTCAGCGGTAGAACGCTCATCAACCGTGCACGTGGTCTGGGTATCGATCCTCAACCGACGCGCTCCTAAACCTCACTTAGCTGTTCATAAGCCTGGTAAAGAGGGAAGGTTAGGCGTGAGGCTAGCAACCACAACCCGTAAAAATAAAAACCAGTGCTACCCAAACTTCATAGCTCTAGTCCGAAGCCATATGTTCCACTGGGAACGGAAAGGAATAAAATAAAATAATAATAAATTTATTAAAGAGTACTTTCGAACCTTTTCACGAAGTTTAACTTACCTTTTTCCATTTCATAACAGTTTGCATAATGACTTCGCATTCATTGAATAGCTCTTTAAAGTTACACAAAGAAATGACCTGACCTCCCTGCTCTATAAAGTGTTTCTCACTTGAAAATGTAGTCTGTAATAAAAAAGTGAATTACCTGAGATAAGAGATGCAAAAATCGCCTTATTTGTGTAAGTATTTGCATGCACTTGTGGTAAGAAGTAAAATCACTTCAATAATCATTCCTTTATGAATTTTGAAAATAAGGAAGATCAGACAACTGGAATTTTTCGCTCATATTAATGTCCACTACACAGAACTTTGGAAATCGAGATCATTCGAGTAACTCACTTTTAAAGCTCATTTGGCAGACTGCCATGCGGATAATCACGATAGTGATGGACTGAATTCCAACGTAACTGCTGTTGTAGTTTTAACTTCAGTGATCACTTAATTACTTCGAAAAGTGTGAGTACTTCTTATGATGGTTTCAGATATATGATTTCCTTGGGGTGATAAGAATGTTACTAAAGGTTATTTTTTATAAAGTATGGATACGATTATTTAAGGCCGATCTAACACTTACCAGTGTTTTCAATCAATGGCAGTGATAAGATATTTTCTAGTATATCAAGATTTGGGTGTTGTGGTATAGTGGTCTACTTTATAATACTATTCATCTGTGAAGCATAACCCTTGAAAGTGGATATAAGGTGTTCAGAAGTTTCTTATTATGAGTGCTTCCTTAATATTGATTAAGTCTGACATGATCACAGACAGTCAAATATCCAGTGTTGAACAAGCAGAACAAGTCAAACGATGGAGCTATGAATATGAATACCCATCGTCTAAATTTCATTATTTTTTCTAATCTTACTTTCTTCTTAATGTAGTAGTACATAAGCACCTGTCTCATATTTATCTTTTGTGTTCTATTTCCCGCGTTTTTTGCAAGATTCTAAGAATGTGGATAAATGGTTGTAAATGCACATGAATTAAGCTCATTTAAATTAAGTACTTAATAACTATATCTTCCTTATTATTGCTTTCATAATAGTCACTTTTGATTTGTTCTGCTTTTATTCCTATGTGCTTTAACAAATTTCGTATTTGTTATGGCAAAGGCATTGATCTCTGTGCTTACCAAACTATACTTTTATTATACCTTAATTCTGTTCACTTTACTTATGCCAGTCTTCGTTTAACAGAAAGTAGTAATCATAACCAATCAATGTTTACTATTAGTCATTTGGTATTTGCTGATTACAAGTAGCTAACTAGGAAGAAAATGTTTTTGATTTTTGCTGTTTTCAGAAGACGTCTGCTTATCGTTAGACTATGATGTGTACCGTCGGTTTCTAGGATGACATTTGAATTAACTAAAAATTTTGAAACGGTTTTGGCATCAAGCTCTGATGGCTGTTTCATTTTCGCTGATATTAATGTGATATTTGATATAACTGGTGATTTTATAACTTTTAAGTACGTTCACATTTCCTATTATACTGAACTTACTTAATAAACTTTTTGAATGTTTTATCTGTTAGGATCTTTTTCTTCCATGTACATTACACTTCATGTAACACACCGAAGTTTTTATTTGCATCTGCCACTCTGAATGTTCTAGTAGTTATTCGTTTTTTAATTTTTATGTAACTCGGTTTTCTAATTTCAAATCGAGAATCATTCTGATTAAGTGATATCAGTCATTGAACTCTGAATCGGTACGTAGTCTTGATTGTTTGAGCATCTCTGGATTACAACAGTAACTGTTTGATTTTCCGCTTCAAAAATCTATAAGGTTCTGATTGATCTCACACTATTTTTCAAGAGAATCCAAGATCCGCTAGAGTGTTGTTCTGAACAAGTCACTAACTTATAGAAGTAAGCATTTGTGATTCTATCTGTAACTCAGCCTACAAATGATACATGGGTCTTGGAATGATACCCAACTTTTGTCAATGAGTGCTATGGAGCATCAGTTAAACAAGTAAGCTTTTTAACTATAGAAGGAATCACTATTGTTTTGCCTTCACCAAACGTTTCATAACAGTTTTAGTGACCAGTGTTTTTTAAAGATTATTCATACTTTATGAAATAGAAAATAAATCAAGAATTATGAATTAATCTGGCTATCAGTACCTAAGTCGTGTTGAATACTTACCTTCCAACTTTCTAATGTAGCCACAATGCTAGTTTATTTGACATTATGGCTAGCCTTACACTCAACCCTCCGTCTTTACCCAAGTGATCCGCTTGAAATCTGGGATGCTAGTGAACTATTCGAGTTTAGTTTGCAATGTAGAGCAACATAAGGCAAGTGGGTTTTCTCTGCACATGGAAATTACGTAGAAAATATTTACAGTTTTTTTGTATGAAGACAGCAGTCATGAATTAGATGGATTAATGCATTTTTCAGCGTATTTACTGACAGGGATTATCATGATTTTGAAGACTATCTGGGGGCGAATTCATTATATATTTATATTCATGCTGTATCACAACATATCAGCTGTCTGTAATCTGATAAGAGGCATATTTATTTTTATACTCACATATTGATAAGAAACCTTACATTTTGGGTAGATATTTGAACCAGCAGCAATAGCGGCAACCAACAAATGCACTGAAAACAGCGGCTGTCTTAACATAAACATGTTCATCTACATAGTTTCTAAACAAGCACAGTGTTATTCCGTCAACAGCTGAAAAATAACTAAAATGCTTTCACGGTGCATGAAAGCGACATATGAAACATTTACAATAAAGTTAATGAACTGACCTGGTGGTAAAAACTATAGAAGCGAACGAAGTAACTAATTTAAGCGGCAAAGGAAACCAAAATGGTGTGAAACTCATCAATAATTATTAATCTTCTTTGAGATAAGTTGCGGATAACTGAAGTGCAAACTTAAAGACTAGTGTGTGAACGGATGTTTAGCAGACACTAATACAACATCGCTGACTAACACGAAAGAAAATGACCTTCAAGTGTCGTATGCATCCAATGATTTTAATCATGCGGGATAATTTCGCTTCAGTACAATCGGCTGAAATTTTCTGTCACGTCCATGGTCATTGGTGGAGTGAGACGCTCAAAGGTCATTTTCGTCTATGTTAGTCAGCCATGTTGTCTGCAGTTCCGTAGCCATTCGTTTACACATTAGGTTTTATGTTTATTCTGCAATTACTCACAACTTATCTTGATACGTATAGTTCCTAAATGTTGCGTTTCACCTCATTTTTGTTTCCGCTGCTTTTGAAATTAATTATTTCGTTGGTTTCGAAAGCTTTTACCACCAGTTCAGTGCATTTGTTTCATTGTTATTGTTTCATACGTTACTTTTATGCATGGTTTCAGGGTTTTAGTTGTTTTTCAGCTATTAATGAATTAGTACTGTGTAGAAGTTTTGGAAATTATGCACATGAACATGTTTGGGTGGCAGAAGCTGTTGCTTCCAGTTTATTCGTTGGCTGCCGTTATTGTTGCTGGCTCAGTTGCTTACTTAACACGTAGAAATCTGGAAAAAAATCTCCTTCACGTCCATGTTTACAGCATGCAACAATCTGCGAGTGAGTCTGGTAAAGAGAGCACGATCAGCGTTGATATTAGCAGAGTTTTCGAAGAACAAATTAAACCTGGAAAATTTAGGACCTGAGATGACGTTGAAAAAGCCTTGAAGCTTTTTGAGAAGGTGAGCATAGTATCAGTGTATCTAATATCAGTTAACAAACACCCGATTTATTGTGAGAGAATCTAAATAAAACAAGGATGAGCCACATGTAAAGTATGAATATATGGTGTTTGTATGTACTTTTGGACAGAAAACTAAATCCGTAGGTAATCACATCCACCTTAAAATGTAAGTTACCTGTGGTTTTTAATGTCTTATGGAGTTGATCTAAATACATTGGTTGCCAGTCAATGATACGCATACATATTCCGGCATACTCTGTTAATTTCGACAGTTAGGGCTGCAAACTAGGTATCCTGTTGTCCACCACTCTTATCCTAACATCTCGTTCTCCATCAATTCTTCGCAACCTCCTGTCACTCTACCGGCACACCTCCCACATACACTTCTGTAGAGGAACACCTCTCAACACATTCCGTTTCATCAATCTGCGCAAACTTTCAACGCTATTGTTAGTGTTATTGCCGAGTGACGAAACACTGTGGTTGAATGCTGCTGCCCATAGTTTCTTCAAAGGCAGCCAGTGTCCGTGTATATACCCCCAAAAACGGGGATCCGGATGCCGTATGATACCGAGATATTCTTCCATTGTTTTCATCTCGAATTATAACCAACTTCCCAGCTTGATGTAATCAAGAAAAAACCACTGACAGTAAATCACAATCTGAAAGGTTATTCTTGTCAGTTAAAGTCTTACGTTCAACTAATGTCCTCTTTAACTTTATAAATCAAAGTTGCTCACTAAAGTTGTAGCTATAGGAGATTGTCTTAGGCGGAAACCATTTTAAGGTAGCTATGTAGCTTTGAATAATGCGCCATAGAACTAACTAGCATATGTTAACTGCGTATAAATATATTAAACGTTGTAAATAAAATTAATTAAATATGCCCTTGAGAAGAAAACGCAGGATATCTGCACGTTTTTTAGGAATAAGGCCAGGCAAACAATCCGGACCTAGGCTGCAAGAAGGGTTCGTCGACTGGAGACAGTTTACAATGTCATTTGTATTGAAATCAAGGAAGCAACTCTTAATAACAATAATTTTTATTTCTGGAACAGAAACCAGCCATTTTTACAGGCATGAACATATGTACACTAATTAGAACTTATAGAATATATATGATTTGTTAATCTAGAAATAGATTGAATACTAGTAAATTTGAGAGAAATATTTAAAAAGAAATGTACAAATTAGGCAATAGGCAATTTTCGAGATCTGCTTTCAACTGAATAATTCATGAGATATAGCATCAAATCTTAACTGTAATTGAAAAAATACGGTATATCAATTTCACGCGGGAATACTAATAATTATGATCACTTTATTCCACAACAATAACAATTTACAGCATAGAATTTTCAGCATTCATTTTACATATTGCAATGGTTTCGCTCTGTTTATAATTATATAAATGTATGAAATGTTAAAAATATTGATAATTAATGGGAAAAAAAAACCCAACAAAATCACACCATTGGTAGATCATAGTGAAATAAAAAATAAATAATATAACAAATCACACATGCAATAATATGCATCATTACATTTTATAGTTTAGTTAATGATTTAAAAGTTGTAAAAGTTCTTTTCTGATATTTGTCTCTTCACACAATACTCGTGCCAAATATGGTGCGGTCGAATTTTTATATTTTGTCGTACGACCTTAAATGCTTATGAAATTTCTTCTGGTCTTACCCGAAGAGATACAAGGAAACAATTTTAAATAAAGAGGATGTTCACTATCAGACAAGATAACTTTAGCCAAGTGTTTACAAGAATTCATATGCCTATTGACACCAGTGTCGGTTGGTTGAGTCAAAGGGATAGCACTGACCCTACTTCCAGCCTTCAATGTTCTTCGTAGTATTATATTATCTTTCTTGAGTAGCCCAGGGAAGAATAATGGAGAACAATAAAGAATGATGAAAAAACACACGAATTAATAAATTGTATGGGAAGAGGTTGGGTTATACCTGAGTGCCCCAACTTCTTTATGTAATAAGTCAGACAGAAAATCTTTTTAGAAACTATAAGAATATGAGACGACCAGCAAAGGTTAGAAGAGAAACTAATGCCAAGATAAGAAACACTTGACTTACTCTCTGTCATGTTACCATCAATATTATAACAATCATGAGATTGGATCAATCCTTGCATGTCTTTTTCACTTCTCAAGCTGAAATCAACAGTATTACATTTAGTTGGATTTAGTTTAAGACAATTTGAGCCAGACTAATCCTTAACTTCAGCTAAGAAGCCATTCATATGGGAACAATCCGATGTGGAAACTACTGTGAAACAGAAACGGACAGAGCATCAGCATACTTAATGAAGTTAACTTTGGGTGAGTTCGGAAGGTCATGGAAAAAGAAATAGAAAAGAAATGGAGAAAGTACTGCACCTTGAGGCACACCACTTTCAGTTAGTTGAGAAGTGGAGCGCTTTCCAGCCAGAACAGTGTGCTGTTTCCTATCCTTAAAATAAGACAGGCATCTAGTTGCCCAGGACTCTGTTTGTGCTGAAATCATCTTTCCCGATGAAAGTGTCCTAGGAACAGAGTCGAAAGCTGCAGTATAGTCTAAAAAAGCTGTTCGAACGAACTTAGCACCCTTATCAAGGCAGGAAACAATATTGTGGTGTAGTACAACGGCTGCATCTAATGTACTTCTTCCACACTTATAAACAAACTTCTTAGGATCAATAAAAGCTTTTAAAGAAGGTTTAAGAATGTTCAAAAGACGTTTCTGCATAGTTTTCAAAAAGGAGATGTTATAGCGACCGGTCTTAACTTTATACCTGCTCCAGAAGATGATTTCTGTACGGGCACAACTTTGATTTCTTTCCAGTCAGCAGGTACTGTTTCCTTGTTGAATGATGCATTAAAGAAATGAGTAAGAGGATGACACAAGATGTCTGCACACTTTTGAAGAATGCCTGGTACACCATCTGGACCAAGGCTGTGTGTTGGATTTAAAGATTTCGAACATGATAGTACATCCTTTTCTTTAAAACCCGGAAAATGACCATTATCTTGACTAGGTACATCACGTACATCCATATTAATTTGTTTCATGATAAATGATATGTTTAAAGCATTAACATCAGAATAAGCATCCACAGACATCTGTTATTTACTTGTAAGTTTATTGAAAAGTTTCCAAATGTTTGAAGGATTTTTACATGACAAAAATTTTTCATTATATAGCCTGCTCAACCTTTCTATTTCAATTTTTATAAGGGTGTTTATTTTACGGGCACCAGTATTATCACAATTCTTATACAACTTCTGTTTTAGTCTTCTAAGTTTTTCGGCTTCAAAGAAGAGATTTTGTCAAATCTCGAAAACAGTGTTTCATATGGACAGCAAATATCCAAACAAAACTTCAGATAACCGGTTATATTAGAGACAGTAGCATCCAACTTATCGTCAGTAAATAGTTCCCAGTTGGTATCATACAACATGCTTCTTAGTGCTAGAATGTTGCCATGGGAATATGAACGTTCATGTATCTTCTTTGCTAAATGACTAAACATTTTTTGTTGTAACTTGCCGTACACTTTCGGTAAAGTACGAATAATGCAGTGGTCAGAGTTTAACAAAGGAGCTCTCCTTCGGGTTTCATATACATCACGGTCGTTTATGAAAACCAGGTCTAGTGATTTGTCCAGACGTGTATTAAACTTGACTAGATTCTCATGACCAAGTGAAGTAAGAAAGCTGTGATCACATGAATTAAAATCACCACAGACTATAGACAATGAGTTTCCGAATGCAGGAGCAGCGAATTCAGTAAATTCATCTGCAAACGTAACTATATTTGAAAGGCTACAATTGGGTGTTATGTAAATATTTGTTATGTATATGCAAGAATATCAACTTAATTGTTTTGGGTGACACCTGACGGTTATGAAACCTGTATTGCCGCCACACGGCTCCCCCTCTTAGAAGTCCGGAGGGACTGCTACTGACGATTTGCAGTACAACTGTGAGAAGAAAAATAATTATAATGCTACATAACACTATGGGAATACGGAAAAAAATGGAAAAGATTTTTTACGCTTTTGTGAATAGTTCGACATCAACTTCTGAACTGGAAGTGGGTGGGAGTAAAATGCATACATATTACGAAGAGTGAACACGCACACAAAACAAAAAATCCTTTTAATAAACACAGGTGAGTATACGTCAGCTCTGTTTATATGACACATGAAAGAACAAAATTGCGAAAGAGATCAATGATAATTGGAACGATGGCATCAAACTGAATGGCACAAATAATAATAAAGATAATGTCCGTTAAAACGCTAACCAATATAGTAGTAATTATGGGAGAATAGTTGTGAATACATATATACACATATACAGTACTGAGGTAGTAAAAAAATAGCAATGCTTCGGAACAAAAATGATGTCGTACCTGACACAAATAAACTACGTAAGTCAATAATTAACAACAATAATCAATAATGTATGCGTAAAAAAATCGTTACAACTTTAAAGGTATTAATCAGTAAAGTGTACAAAACGGGCAGGTTTATTAACCTGTCTGCCACTACGAGTAATGCAAGGGAGAGGTAGCATTATTGGCACCTCTGGAGCTAACTATTTCTATCCCAATTTTTCATGTGAATACGATATGAATAAACTTTTTCACATATATCCTAGAAGTCTAGCTACGCCTAATTCGAATGTGTACCTAAATGACTTCACAAAAATCATTTGTTGTCTACCTTTCTATAAAAACAAAAAACAGAGACATTTTCATTGATTCCAAGCATAAACAGCAGAATTACTTAGAGATATTAATTTGTTAAATGAAAATATGAAGTCAAAATACAAATGTTTAAGGAATTTTTCCGAAGTTCGAATAATTGCATAGTTTAAGCTGCTTAACCCAACCACGGTTACACACAGTCCTAAAGTAGTCCAAATCATAGTTTTAATAACAACATTGGTGAAAAGAATGGTATTACTTTCAGTGCTCTTTAGTATTTTATCGCTTTTATTATACCACTTGGCTTTATTTGATCTCAGTGGTGCAGATGCATTCATATCTACTCTTCATTGTAATATTTTAATCAATCATTTCTTAATTTGTTTAACTTTTCTTCTTTTGTTTTATAAAAGTTTGTGACTTTTGATTATTTTTTCAATCTCTTTATCTTCTGTCTAATTGTCTTCTACTCAGTGTACAGATACAAATTATAGCAAGAAGGATTACTATTCATTTACATTAAGCTACATATTGATGATGAATAATTAAATTAGAATTAGAATTATGCATGTGCGTGACTCTAGTGGTAAAATTTTAATCTAGATAGTGGTAAGTGTATGGGTAGGATGTGTAAACTATTAGGGGTAGAGGGAAAAACAACTACTGCCACATAGCGATTAGATGACATAATAATAATGAGAAATTATGAAACCATTATTTCACATCCCTGATGCCATTTTATTGGCCACATTATTTTAAATGCCTATAACTAAAATTTTAATCAACTGTATGAAATGCATGTTGGATTTCTCCATCGCTTTACTGGTATTTCAAAATATTGATTACTGAACAAAGAATATTCTTCTCGATAACTTCTTCATCAGGTTCTGCAGTTGTACATAAAATGGGCATCCATAATCAGTTTTACCGATATGTAAATATATATATGTCACCATAATCTACTGTGTTAGCTTGTACAACTGACAAATCTGCGGCTTCATCTGATAAAAGTTTCTAAGTTATTTTAGTCATCTTCATCAATGTGTTACCAAAATCTCCAAATCACACTTAATTTGTTTTGTCTTACCTCAGTTGCACCTTCTTATTTGTCTTAACACCCTTCTACTTGTATTATTTTCTTCTTTTTGTACTGTTGAAGAGTGTGATAACTTGAACTGTTGGAAATTTTTTTCAAAGTTTCAGATAGCTCTGCTTGTCTATGTTGAGTAGTCCTTCAACTGGTTAACACAGTTGCTAACAGTCACCACTAAAGGTAACAAAAATTTCTTAACCTATTAACTCTATATCTTAAGGTAATTAAGTTACCAAGATTTTTATTCCTTCGTCTGTGAATCATAAACAATCAAGTTTCTTGTAAAGAACAACTCTGTGCTCCTGAAGTTCACCTAAAGACTATTTACCAGTCATGAGAAGGACAGGTCATCTGATCTTTTACTAAGTGAATCGTTTAACTGTGACATTCTTGTTGCTGATAATTGATGAAAGAGGAACTATGTTGTGGTGCTGTGATACAATGTGTTCCAACAGAATATTATTGTCACAGTAAGAAACGCTGTATTTGTTGGTGTTAACGTCTAAATACTTTTCCCACAGCTCAATACTGCATTAATAGCAGAATACTATAAATATTTGATTATATTTCCTGTTGTTTATTGTAAACTCAGTGATTGTTTAAAGAATATAAACTGTAAATTTATAAGTAGCGGTTTGTTCAATTGAAAATATACTTTTTCTTCCGTGTATTGCCTTCTGCTACTGCAGTATGTACTCGTACTGAGAAATGCTTATCTCAAAGGTCAAATATTATCACTTGAAGTTATTTGTTTTTATATCTAATAAATTGTATACCAAATACTTTGTTAATTTTAATTCTAAGGGCGATATATACTACTGATTAATACGAATATTTACGAATCACTCACGTCATCCAGCAGTAGTTGCCAGCCAGATCAAGGTGATCTGGACACCATACGGGTATCTAGTTGGGATTAAAATATAGTATACAGTTTTATTTATTATCGTTTTATATGACAAAGTGGGTTATAATTGGGTTGCACCTCAGAAGAAGGAAAAATAAACCGTACACATCCAACTAATTTCTTCAGGATTTATGCTTCTTTTCTGGAGGCAAATCTTATACAAATTAATGCAGTAGGTAGTAACCAAACATTAGATGAAAACCTGTGTTGTAGCACTGTTCGGGACGAATGGCCTTCAGGTTAATATCTCGACACTGTGTTGTGTGAACTGTGAGACCCATGTAATTATTTTTCTCTTGTAATCAACGGTTTTCATCATCTTTATTGTGAGTAAGTGCCTCATAACTGTTCGTTTAAACTAGCCGTCCAGACACATCTTATCATTTCACTTATAGTCCTTATGCATTAGGAAGGAGCAGCAAGTTGTTCGTCAATGACTGTATTAAACAGTCTTGAACTCTAAAGGCGAGTTTTATGTAATCACTACTCATTACTTCATGCATTTATTCCCCTTGATGAAGATGAATAAAGCAAGAACAACAGCGGTTTGTGCAGAATAATATGGTACCATCACTTATTTCGTTAGGGATTACGTAACCTTTGTCTTTAACCTCACCCCCTTTTATAAACTGTAATTTTGCTTGTCTCTTGTTTCTATGATTTGAGTTGAACTCAGTACATTGTTACCTAATTTATTAGTCACTCTGTATCTAACGCATATTTCGTCTTTATTACGTAACTCTTTTACCATTGTATGCATACATTTATTTTGTTTAAACTTGAACTGCCTGTGTAAAATCTATATAAGCGCAATTTTCGGAGCGCTGGTCACTTATTGTGGAACTTTTTGTCAACTGACAACATGTAAAATTTGCGTGTTAAAACTTTTCTGTACGCAAACCTCACAATTTATTTAGGCTGTAAGCAGCTGATGAGGAGCCAGCGAAATAAATGATGGTACCATATTATTCTGCATAAACTACCCATTACATTTAACCTGGGAACTTTCACGATTAAACATGGAAACACAAATGACGCTGAAGTATTTCTTTAAGTTGCATTTTTTTCAACCTGTCGCCTCCGAATTCTGTCTTGTAAAAGAAACAATAATTATGAAAGTTGTGACTGATTGATTTAAACATTCGAACTTTCTCTGCCTACTGAAGTTCATGTAACGAAGAAAATTATTTGTCTAGCCTATATATATATACATATATATAGGCTAGACGAAAAACAGAATGTGTTCTTATTTTGATTTACTTTTACCTTTACAATTGCTTACATAAATTTTATGTTTTTACACAGAATCAGTTGGTTACTGATAACGCTAATATTATTTTCCAAATTATTTAAGCAATTTTTAAAAGCATATTATTCTATCCTATTGTCCCAAATCTCTGGGTCACTACACTTTTATTCAAAATTTGTTACAAACAGAGAATTCTCAGCTATAAAATGTAAAAATATATCTGAGGCAAGTGATAACTTATAAGTTAAAATCTTGGTGTCTTGAGGAAGTCCATCTTTGTTGTGAAATCACAGCTGGCACTACTATCAGCTTGATGAATTTGGAATTAATTCTTAATTGTAAACTGAAATTTGATGAAGAAGCACATTTGATCTAAATAGACTTGATTATGTTTGCCCCCAGTTTGAGACTGGTATATTATACATATATATATATATATATATATATTACAATAAACGATAAAAACTAGGACGAAACAGCTGTTCAGTACTTCCGTGTTTTCCCATGGTTCTCTAACCGATATCCTCTCATGATGAAATCCTGTAACCAATCAAATCCCTGCCAACCAACACTTGATAATCTACGTTTGTTGTGCATATGTTGACACTCTTTGACAGTGAATGGAAATATTGAATTCTGATAATCATCTAAGTTAATATTATGTTACTTCAACATTTCTCTGCGCTATCAAATCTATGTTTTGCTTCTATATGTGCTAAAAATAACATATCGATTGTGCGTGCAGTTTGTTCATTAAGCTAAAGGATAAGAGAACGTTGTTTAAAGTAGAGCAAACATACTTTGTTGATGAGTGCCAAAATGCATCAAACTCATGTTAAGAGCATCCTTTCAAATAACACTTATTCATAATTATGTATTCTGTTACTGATCTGGGTTGTATAAAAATGTAATAAGGAATATAAAGCTACAGAGTCTTACTAGTATGTGTCGAATACATGGTCACTCTTCACCATCATAAGAAATTCTAACACTTTCATATACTAAAAGTGAATAATTTTCTCTTCTTCTACACATTTTTAAAAGTTATTATTCCATTTTTATTAATTTATAATGTGGAGATAATATTAATAGTCAGCTTCTACAGCAACAGTTTAAAGAGTAGACTGAATGGTGTTTTTGAATTCTTCAATTAGCCTTCTTAGTGCTAATCCCTTAAGAAGTAAATTTTTTTCCAGACTACAAACATCACTCAGCAAATACTCATCTCCCTAATAAACTGTTAATTTTTCACTCAACTAACGATGGTAGTTTGAAACAAGGTCGGCGTCCAAAATTTGCTTATTATTATTTGCTTCGTCATATCCGAAATACTAGCTAGTCGCCATTGAAGTTTATAGTCTTAATTCGTCATGGTTACAGAAGGGCATGTAAATTTTGGTTATATCTACATATAGCCAAAATACAGTGGCATATAGATGATTTAAATATGTTTCATATTTTGTTGACAGTTACTCACGGCATGCCAAAGTTTAAGAATGCAGTAGATTCTCATGGTAAAAGCAGTAGTATTTCTTGATTTCCTGGATCCGCAGCAGTTACATGGTAGGATTTTCAATAATCATAAGAACCAAGCTGTGCTAATTAAAAACGTCCTGTCTGTGTAATCGCTTTTACCAAATTAAATATCTTTATTCATAGACATTTTCAAGAACACTAACTACCAAAAAGTTCCTCCGTAAATGACGCCAGAAATATTCATTGAAATTCGTTGCTTATTTTATACACTAATTCTCATAAACAATCTATGTTAACATGTCTGAAAGCAAATATCTCACAGAATGATGAACAAGGAATATTCTTTTCAATAACTTCGTCAGTTTCAACAGTCGTATGTCTGTGTCAGTTAAGGGATAATTGATATTGACAACATCTATGTGCTTAATCAACACCCAATTACTAGAATCAAAATATCCGAGGTGTACGTTGAGTAAATTGTTACTAGTATACAAATCTAAATATATGCATGTGACAAGTTGGGAAAACAAAGCACTGAATTAGACATCAGATATCAAAGTAACTGATTATGAACGACAATTAACATATACTAGTGAATGCTCACGATCGATACCCCAGGTTTGATTTTTAGAAAAGATAACATTATTTCGAGTAACGCTCAACAAATGCATAAAAAACATATGGCAAAGTAACTATGATCACATAGAAATAATGAATTCGACTAACAGACTAAAATTAAATAATTACTGACGGTTAAGAATAACTTCGCCATTTTACAGTATGTGAAGGCACCATGCAATTCCTTATGTGATATTGACATCATCATTGGAATTCTGGACACCTCTTAGACATTATCTCTTCTCTCACATTCACATTCCGTGATGAACGAGTGGTATGCATTTCATTTCGCAAGAGAGATACGTGTTCACCTCAGCCAAGTATGTCGGAAACTCTTTACGGTTCTTTAAGTTTTACGGTGATAGACGTCTTTGTCAATGATGAAAAAGACGTTTATTATTATCATTATATATCAGCTTCACTTTGTTCAATATTTTGGGTTTCTTATATGCACATAATATCACTGGGTTGAAATTTTATGATAGTCAGAGATTGGATTTAGGATTAGTTTATTGTTAGCTTCTCTATCTATTTCAATTGTATGAAAACATTCGAGATTTCATTTGAAATGCAAACGTGCATCTTTTAGTTATAGAAATTCAACAAAAATGTTCTCACACTTATATAGTCATAGAAATGTAAGTTTTAGTCTTAGTTGCTTGGTAAAGCGAAGACCGTCTTACCGTGTTGATATTTTCACAGCCTAGTAACATAGCAGACTGTCATACACAACAGTATGGATGCATTCATTATTTGCCTTCCACCAAATTTTTACACATTCTCAACCAAAATGGGAACTCTTCAGCGAAATACACGTGCATATATATTTATCTTGCTTTTTAGCTTGCAGTTGTATACAATGCTTCAGCTTGTGTTGAGGTTCTGGTCAATCCACCATATATGTGGAGTTCGTATTTTGAGAATACAAATGGTGAGACAACTATGAAATTGGCAGAGCAACATTGTTGTTTGAAATTGCAGTATTCAATAGCAGCAAAGTTATCAAAATATGCAATCGACTCTGAAGAGTTTTCACATCGTTCACTTTCAGCACTTTTACTTTATCCTCAAGCTTTTATTGAACAACCATTTTCTTTCGATGAGGTAAGAAGTTTGTTTATTTATCAGTGCTTTGAAATACATCCGTTCTGTTTTTCTGTTTGAGATAATGGATGTTAGAAATCACTAGTCAGGAAACCTTAAACCTTAGTCTCCTTCTAATCCTTGGAGACCACCAAATTTGAAGATACTCTTTCTTCTCTGAGTCCAAATTAACATAAAGCCCAGGTAATAACGATTCTTCACTAATATTTTTTAAATGTTTTACAATAAAACGAACAATAGGGAAATTACAAAATACAATAGTATTATATCACTTAGTGTGGTGACGACATTCCATGCCTAAGCGATAGGTTTCCATTAAATACACTCATAGTAAGATCAACTTCTAATAATTAGTAACTTAAACAAATTGCTGATTTAATAATTTTTTTATTCTAAGTCAGATTTTCAAGGTTAAAAATAATTACCCTTAAAGGACAACAGCCATTTAAATTGTTTTTGACAAATGTTATCATAAATTTGGAGTAACTGCTGTTTCCTTCTGTCTAGTAAGTCATGGTGCAGATTGAGCTGTCTGACTGATTCTTAATTTCATACAATCGTTGATGACATGTGTGCGTAAAAATGAAACAAAATATATGATGCAGAAACTAAATCTGCGTAGTATGATTACTCGAAAATCAACTGAACTAATCATTAAGTGCATTGGAGTTACTTCACACAGAAGACAGTAGTTCTCTTGATTTAGTACAGTAGTTCAAAAACAATGTACTCAGAAAAACTCAAATCATATCCCTGAGATTTTGCTGGCTTACCTGTAAGAAATCGTATGACGTAAGACGATGATACAAGGAGCTTCCTGCAAAATCCTTTACAACGCTTTTAATGTAAATACTACGCTTTTGCAGCTATTTAATCAGAATGTCTGGTCTAATGTATGTGTTATTCAAAATTTCGTCATTTGGCTTGAATTTTCCCTTTTCTTTTACCCGTTCTGTCCAAATCAAATAAGTAAGATTTCTTGCAAATACTAGTAACTGTTTAAGACTAGCTTGAATTTGTGTATTTAATCATACTGTTTGTCATCTACTTCACACTTTTAAAGCAAATCTTCTGGCTAATTAAAGAATCTAGAAAATTCAGTAGAATAATTTATTTCAACAAAAAGCGGAAAACATACCACGCAACACATTGATTGTACTCTCTTTTTCTGTGATTTGGTCACATATTTCAGAGGATTTAAGTTACTGAACAATAATTGTGAGTGAGATTAGGCTAGGGTTGTCCTGTAAAAAGAATTTTGTTTCCCCCCTTGTACCTCATTTGAGAGGAGCAGTTTGTTGAACTAGCAGTTCGAGCAAAATAAGAGCTTGTAGCGACCCAAAGTATACTTTTGTGGAAACTAATTTTACACGTGTTTGTCAAATATTTGCCATTGCATTAAAGAACATTGGTTTTCGTTTGTTGCGTACATATTTGCGTGGTTACACACTTTTACGTTCACCTTGTGCCCTACGAAATTTGCTTTTGTTAACAATACACCTCTCCTAGTTTTCACTTGCGCTTCTTAATACAACGTTTTTCGTTTAAAATGTTCAGCATATCGTAGAACGTGGATATACTATAGTATAATCATCAGAATCATTTCTAGTACCCCATAAGCATTCCAAAATCGCATTTTATTTATATAAAATGCCCCTAAGCGCTAAATTATCGTATTTACACAGTAACTAATACTTTCGTCTATAATTTACCACAGCTTTAATATTGTCAGTTTTAGCGCGCTTTTTAAACGGTTTCTATTTGACTCATGTAGCTTAGCATACTTTTATCATAACATTGTCATTTTGATTCTTTTAAACAGCTTTTTACATGGAATAGGCATGGTGTAATGCCCGGTAGTGCAGTTGAACACCTAAACAATGGTATCAACAATCAGAGTTGTTCATTTCGTAATTTCTCCCTTCTTTTTGAGTTAACTGTTGCAACACCGGAGATCTGTCCCACAATATATTTTGATAGTAATGAAATACGTGATTTCCTAAACGATATAAAGGAGTTTTATCAATCTAGTAATAAACTACTATATCGTGAGCATTATTACGCCGCAGAACATCACTTTTCAACTATATTCTCTGAGCATATGAGAGTCACACATAAATGGGATGAAATATGGAATAAACTATTTTATACATGGTTATTTAATCGTACAGTGATGCAAGGTAATCGAAGCACTAATTTAGATGACATTAGCACTTTCATGTACATTAAACAGCCTTTTGAATTACAGGCCATTTGCCGTATTACTTTGAGAAGACTTGCAGTAGAACAAAAAGGTAATGTTTGATAATATTATATTGTTTAAATGTCAGTTTCATTATATTTCACTAAGTTAACTGTTTGACTGGAACATAAATTAGTTAATAATGAGACGAATATCTGAGCACTATAAGACAAAGTGAAATGTTTTAGGTAACACACATTCCACTTGTAAGACTAAAGTTAGTAAATATCGATTTAGCTAATTGTGATCAAAAGAAAGTACTTTTTAACTCTACCTGTGAAGGCAATTTTGAATTATAATTATCAAAACACAAAAGTTTAACAGAGTCCACAGAAAACCTCTCAGTTGAGTTTTGCAACTGCCAGGACTTATCAGCAATATTTATCTGTAATCCAGAAGAAACTATGTTCATGCAGCGATTCTAACTTTATAACAAAACAATTCAACTCATAAATGAGAAGTAGAATATGTATAGTTAAAGGTTATTAGATGGGTAACTAATGTAGCCGTCTTGTCCCGCACGTGTTCATTGATGTCCACAACATACGTACTCAGTGTAGTCACTAAGTTACATGATATAAAGAGCAACGCGAATCCTAGATACAGTTCTTCCTGTCGATGGATTCTTCAGTACAACTAATATCGAATTTTTTAAGTTAATTTTAGATTTTCACATCGATTGGTTGGACAGAGGTGCTCAGTCTCAGGTTGACATGTCGGCTTCTTGTGTAGATGCTTCGACATTGCCTGATAGTCACCATCCACCATCTGCATCTGCACAAGAAGCCGACATATCAACCTGAGACCGAACACCTCGGTCTAATCGATCTACGGGAAAGTCTAAAATTCAACTAAATAATCAATATAACCTGTAGCACAAGAGGTGGATCTCATGGCCTAATGGATAGCGCTTTGGCGTTTGAAACTACAGGGCACTGGGTTAAGGCCTCGGTTGGAGCATCATCATTCACTACGGAATGCAGATACATCCAGATGACGAGTCCCAAATAGGACGAAATGCGCATCCTGGATTACACTGCTAGTCACGATCCAATCAATCACGATCCACCAATCAATAACGAATTTTGTTTTCATAATAATTATCTGCTTTATTCCAAAAACCGTGCTTATGATACAGCATGGAATTCTCAGCATTTGTCACAATATTGCATCTGATTTACTCAAAATATAAATAAAATTAACCACAGGAATTTGTCCACATTCACGGTATGAAGTCAATAATATTCGAAGGATAAAATAAGGATAATAAATATTGTAGTAATAACAGTGGGTTTGTTTCAAGCAATATTGTTGGTACAGTATGGAAATTTTAGCATGTTATAGAGTATTGCATCTAATGTTTTCTTGATATAGTGTGGTGAGGGGGAAAACAAAAAATAATCATTAACACAGAGCTTAAATGATGTTTACACTGAGGAGAAAATTAACAAAAAAATAAGAGGACTATAATTATAAGAATAATAATAGCAGTAAAGCTTGATGGTATAAGGGTGGAGAAAATTGTTTATTTACTGGTAGAAAGAAGGTTAGTTAGTTCGTGCCACATAAAATACGTGCCGAATACGGTATCGTGGAATTTTTATACTTACACATGTGTGCATAAAGGCTTTTGAAATGACTTCTTCTTTTACCTGAGGGGACGCAGAGTGAATGCTGGCGGTTTCACAAAATCCCTATAGCAAATTTGTTGCATGAAATCAAGTGCCTATCATTGACGATTTCAACGAAATGGCCCAAAGGGAGACCACTCACCCTGCTGACAGTCCTCATAGTTCTACGAAGCATAACAGTCTTTTATAAACAATCAAGGAAAGAATAAAGGTGAACAGTGAAGAAGAATAGGTAAGATGCAAGAGTTGACAAACTGTAAGAGGAGGGACTGGGTTATTCCCGAGTACCTTAACTTCCTAATGTAGAAAGTCAGACGGAACATTTTTTTAAAAAGTTGCGAAGACTTGGGTAGGCCAGGATAGATCAGAAGAAATAATTAGTTCAAGATACTCAACGTCAATCTTGGTTTTTATGTCATTATCATCAATTTTGCAACAGTCAGAGGAATTAACAGCTTCATTTAACTTTCTTTTACATCGGAAACTGAAATTAGCAGTCTGACATTTGGAAGGATTCAGTTTAAGAGCATTAGATGAAGATCATTTACTGACTCCTGATAGAAAGCTGTCCACTTTAGTACGGTCTAGTTGGGAGTTGACAGGCATTGAAACAGTTAGATCGTCTGCAGTAAAGCACTATGTGTGTGCGGCGGTGGCACAGCGGTTAGGACGCTCGCCGACCATGCACACGGTCTGGAGTTCGATCCCCGGCCAGCGCACTCCTTTACCTCGCGAAGCCAGTAATAAAACTCGTAGAGAGGGAAGGTTGGGCATGAGGCTAGCAACCCCATCCTGTAAAAATAAACACTGCTACAGAAACTTAAAGCCCTATGTTCCACTGGGAACGTGAAGGAATAAAAAAAGCACTATGCACAGCAGTTTCTCATCATTTAGCTTAGTAAACAAACTGTTCATAGGATTTTTGAGTTTCGATTAACACACTCGGAAGTAGGTAGTGACCCATTGGCAAATGAAAAAATTTTCAGTTTTTATGAAATGTTTTCCCTCAATCTGTTGAATATTCAATGTATCATTATATTTGATCAAATTAAGCGTTTTAGAGATTGTAAAGTGAGTTAAATATCATCGTAAACAAAATGTATTTTGAAATAAAAAGAGACGAAAATATTTGCTTGCAAGAAAGAAAATGCTCACAGTATATGATACACTTCTACTCCATATAAAGTTCAAAGAATAACTAAAACGAAATACCTTTGGGAAACGTAATCAGAATGTGTCGATTCAACCGATTACAATAATGTGAAAATTTAATATTATGCAGAACATATCAAAATGCAACAGTACTAGATGAAGAAAGACTTCCTAAAAAATATGCTTCTACACGATTTGTTATCGACTTAAGAGTATTGTGGGAAAGCCAATAGTATATTTTATATACGTTCTGCAGAAGCTTACATCATATACAGGATTGTATTTTATAACCTGATTGCACTTATATATGTAGGTTTATTTGAAAATAACAAAGACAATAGAAGTCAACCATCTAATATCAACAGTTCAGAATACTCTGTTATGGCGAGCCACTTAGAATGCTGGCCACATTGCAAGCTTGACTGATCGAATTCAGTCTGCACCAAACAAAGAACTAGACACACTGCACTAGTCACTGACTAGTGTCTATTCAAATAACAGAGGTCAAGTTTCAACTATTTAAGTGTTAGCTTCATAATATAATTTTATAAATTAACTTAGTTTTAAGGAATATTTCAAAAGGGATCGACATCAACTTTGCAATAACTGAAGGCTGTACAGCAATATGCAGCCTTTTTTTATCCTATTTTGGAACTTTTCAGCAATGGGGGCTAACATGAGTAGGATAGATCCTAAAGCCATCAACTTCCGAAGTGACCAAATTGCCCTCTGGAAATTATTTGAGAATGAAATCTTTAGACTTCGTCCAACTTTCTGTTCTGTATCATGCAACATTATTTTTAGGTGTCGTCACACTCAACTGAGTGGACACCATAGTCACGGATTCACAGTGAAATCCACCTAAAAAATACTTATTTTTAATCAGTTTACTAAGTAAGTTTTGACATATACAACTCTTCATTTATGGCTTTAAATTAGCAAATTCATCTTTCCAACGTACCTAAAGCGTGTAGACTTTCCTTTGCAAAGTGCACTTTACGTCTTAGAAATAGCTAGACAGCGAAAATGTTTCTCGTTGACTCCAGAATACAGGCTAAGACCTACATTCAAATCTATGCCATAGTGGAAATAGCTGTTTTACATCTCATAAAACTTAGTATTTCATAGCTAGTTGACGGATTATTATGACAAAATATCTAGTCTGTTACATCAGGAAAACAATACACCCATCTTTATCAACCATTTGAAATGTGCCAAGCAAATTTTTATTTCTCTGAAAGGAATCAGGATTAATGACCTACCTTAATTTCTTACAAAATAGAAATAACACATGTTTCACGCAAAATTTAGCATTCTGTCCGTAATAAAGTCGCTGGAAAAGTGATATGTAAGCAAAGGAAGCACGACAAAAGTATCAGGATATTATCTTATCGTCGCGAAAACGGTATTTTCAAACCTCTATTGTAATTTATATTTTTTGCATTATCCATCTTGTAGCCAGTTGAGAAGAATCTTCGAAATTAGAGAAGATGAGCTCATATTATCCTGGTGCATTTGTTGTTCTTGCTTTGTTCAAGTTCATCAATGCAAATAATTGCATGAAGTTTTTAAAAAGATTTTTGTTGACACTTAATCGTAAAACGATTTAACAAGGTTTGGACAAGGGTAAAAAATTACTGATTGTATCAGAAATACGCTTGGAATAATTTGGTTATATTTGAACTAACCACATAATTTTTGATATTGTTATCCCACTTTATAAACGCTTCAGTTGATTTTTTGAAACTAATTTTCACCAGGGGTCAATTATGCCTATTTTGTTGAGCATTTGGATCTACCGATACATCTCAAAAACTATCTATTTTATAGTGACTACTGGTCATTTTGAAAATTCTATGGAAAAAACAAGCTTACTATATTGACCAATATGCAATGCAGGACTAGCAGTTAGATATTTGAACATTGTACAGGTTACATATATTTGTATATTCAGTATAAATTAAATACTTTGCTTTGTGTATACATGTTTCTACAGTGCTATTTTAAAACAAATTAATGGATGAATGTTACATCTTATTCAGTGATACTTAGTTAATGAACTGTTACTATTCCCAGTAGCTGGAAAAATATACTTTTATAACCTCAACGATCTGTCATATAAAATCATGTGGACAATAATGCTGGGGCATAAATGTACAATGTTTTCTTTATTTATAGACTTCTGAAAGTCATTGTAGCCATCTTAATTCAAATCAAGTTTTGAAATCATTAAAGAAATAGTGAAAAGTGGGAGCACTAAAAAGGTCTTGCATCTTGACAATAAACTGCCTAGTCAGCATCTAATGGATAAGACTTCCAGGTTTAAGCTTTTTCCGACAAATCACTAATAGTGTACAGTGCTATCAGGAGACCTCGTCATTGAGGTTGTTAGTCAACCAACCTGAAGTTGCATTTGTTGGAGAGTTTTCGTGAAATCAATCGATACCTTGTTAGCTTTTCAGTCAAAACCCGGAATTCATCGAGTCATTGCTGTGACTTCTGAGTTTCACTTGAGTAACCCCTTTCTAACTGATGAAATAATCTAATTGAAATGCTTATTCACCTCCGACTGTCATGTTTTTATTCCATTACCACCTTTTATGTAAAAAATTCGGTCGAAAACTTCACGTCGTTTAAAAGCGCTTAAAGATTAAAGAAAATACCTCCTTACAAAATTCAATGCTAATGATGATGTGCGACATTCTATGATGCGAAATAACCCAACTGTACAGTTCTATAATCATTTTGGATGAATCATTTAATAACTTGTGTGTAAAAAGTAAGCTCTAAATTAATCATTAAAAGAAGATTATATTATGTAAACAAAATGATTTCGAGTAAATGGCCAGAAGTAGTACAATACTGTTTCAACAGGTAAGAATTATGTGGTTTGACATTTTGGTTCCAAAGCTTTGGTGCTCACAATTAAAACGTAGTTAGCCTTAATTGTTTTTTACTTCATGAAATATAGCATTTATTCATGACGAAGGTAAACGAAAATTTATTCAGAAAAATACTTCCAATCAGTCATACAACTGCATTTATATTGCGTTGAAACGTAGTTAGATACACGAGAAATTTTTCATTCAACATGAATATGATAAAAGTTAATTAACATGATTCTTAAGGGAGTATGGTTGGAGTGGATGAAACATAAAATGGAATCGATATTAAGATGCCGAGAAAATGAAGTTACTACTGTAACTGTGGAAGATAAGAGACTCGGTAAAGGAATGTTTATTTGCATTTCAACATTTCCTTGTAGTGAAGTTATCTACACCTTATCTCCATACCACCATTTGCACAGATCTTCCATGTTGTGCTACTTCTGCCCTTCATATTATTATTCTTTGTCTTTTCGTGTCTCCCATGTTTTATCGCAACTCTGGTTCATTTCCTCTGTTTGACGTCATATCTATCTCTCCGCTATTTGATATTTTTGTGTGCCGATGGACGTCTCTTTATCTACTCCTGATCAATCTTATCAACAGAGCACGCCACATTATGATAACAATATTCATTGAAGAGACAAAGTGAGGCAGAATTAAACTAATCAAAGATGAAATTGTTTGAACCAAGATGAAAATGTTTTGCGGGACATTTTAGGTTGCAGTCTAGGTTTTCGGTGATGTATGGTTTGCGCTATAAATAGGTTATTGGCTCGAAAAATTTTTAAACGGTTGAATTTAGCCCTGCAGATAACCTGACGATAAAAAGTATTCACAAGGAAAGCTTTTGTAGTTGTACACTCAAAGATATCACAATTTCATTTTTACACATCTGATCCAGTTCATATCAATTGCTTTCTTGAATAGCCCTTACATATTTCATCTACTTCTATCCTATCTCCTAACAATCACGTCTATCGACTGACCAATTACAGCGAGACTAACTGCCTTTTTAGGTAACATAAGTACCACTGTACGGCTTGAAAATGAAGTTGTCGAAAAGTAATATTTCGCTAAATAAATGTAGTATTTGAAATATGTCTTCCAATCCATTGTTTTAGACAATTCATTTTAGCTTTCATATTGACCAATATTTTTCATTTCCTACTTCACTTCTTCGCCTGGTTTATTTTCATAGTAGGTACATCGCTGTGTTTTCCTAAGGTGACGAAAAAACTTAGAAAAAGTCAGAACACAGTAGGGTTTTTAAAAATAATTTTATAGTGATTCGACCTGAGTAGGCACTCAAATTAATTCAGGCAACTACGCAAACGTCTGTTACTGTCCTTTAAATTTTTCAATACTTTGTCATTAGATTATGTTTTGCTGCTTTGCATGTCCACTGATATGAAACAGTTTGTTATGCCAGTAGCTGTAAATGAGGGTTATACTCTAGTTGAATTGATAAGTGGTTTCACATACTGTATGAAATCAGATTTATCCATATATCGAATTGTTGTCTAACAGTTTGATAATCCAACAAATATTTTATCTGCTTTCTACACACAAGGTGAGATAAACGTTACCTGATCATCAGAATGAATGTCGACTACATCCGGAAATCTGAAACCACGTGACTGACCCTAATAGTCAGAGGAGGTAATAGCTCCATTATGGGTAAATTTTATTTTGATAAAGTCTCACAGTGTTATACAGTAATGTTTACTGATGACGTTTTGAGCACAATTTATTGTTCGTAATCTTATCAAGGTAATCACACCACTTCCTAAATTCATTTATATAGTTCCATTGTTTTTCACTTGATTTGATTGGTAGTAATATCAAGTGAAAATCAATGAAACTATATAAATGAATTTAGGAAGTCGTGTGATTATCTTGATATGATTATGAGCAATAAATTGTGGACGAAACGTCATCAGTAAACATTACTGTATAACACTGTGAGACTTTATCAAAATAAAATTTACCCATAATGGAATTACACTCTACCACAGTGCACAAGTTTTATTCTTATATCAAGGAGGTAATAGCTACCTGAGTTTACTGTAAGTGTGAATCAAATAACTCACAAGGAAACGTTAAAATGAAAATAGCCATAGATGAAGTACCACACAAACTAAATTTATGGAGCCATTACAATTTTGGAAGATGATTGCATGCTTTAAGCTCTCAAGGCACGGTATATTGAAATGCAAGTACTTCTCTAACTATCAAGTAAATTTTAAGTACACCATTCAGATTTGAAAATGAATGCTATTTCAAAGTCTTAGGAAAGTAAGTAGACAATTCATTGACATATATATATATATATTTAATATGACACCCCGTCTATCTATTACTTTGCTCAATCATTGATATGTAACAAAGCATTGGAAATATTACAAAAATAGCTTACAAAATATAAATGTAACAAAAAAGTGAAGAGTATCAGATAACTGATCATTGTGCGGATAACAGGATATTGATAATGAAATCAATCAAATCATTTTAGTAATAATTTTTACGCAATGCTGATAGACAATCGATAGGAAGAAATAAATTCACAGATGCTTAGTTAGTTGAAAGTAGTTTAAATAATATACTCAGGTATTTCAGTGTTATGAAAGCTTGTTGTTTTAACCACTCTGACCAGAGATCTATCAACATTTGACCATAAGTCGCAGTAGGATAAAAATGCACGCATAATTACGATATTTCATCGCACATGATTCTTTCTGATACTGTTTACGAGCATCTAAACACGAAAATAAACAGTAGTTGAGATCAGTCAAATAATCATTGCTGTCACTGACAAAATGCAATAATTGATAGGTAAACATTTTCGACCTAAGGGTTCTTAAATATCAAATGGTAATTAATTTTTAACTAATGTAAAACAAGTATCCTTTACTTTACGTTTATCACTAGGTCGCTAGGTTAGAAAAGTGTCAGGAGTCGGGGCGTGAAATTCATAGCTCTTGCACCACGATGAGCCGTAACTTTACTTACAAAATTGTGCAATGAAACCAACTACCTTATATGAATATATTTTTTAATCAACCATGCTAACGTGATGGCACCTTAAAATGTAAACAAACTAATCATTGTAGTCGATGGAAATTATTACAATTACCAGGACTGACCATCATTCCAAGTTCACCGATGATAATATGAGCAATATAATAGTCTTACTAACAATTATCAGGTGCAGTTGAATTGAAAGTAGTCAACTTCAAGAATAATTATTTTCTAACATGGTTGAATTCATTATCTTATAAAAGGTGAAGTCTTTCATCATTTTTTAATGACATATCTTTTTGTAACTAAGTCTAGATAAACACGATAGTGAAAATGTGAACATAACGCCCAGAAAACATTAGCACTGAAGTGTTACTAGTCGTCATTCAATAATTTGAGATGATATTACCAATAGTTCATAGTAGTGGCTTTTGTTATTTGAGATACATAACTTTTGGCATGCAGAGCTTCTGATATCAGTTCTGCAGAAGACGGTTTAACCAAAAGAAGATCAACGGAGAATGAATCTCTCTCGTAAGGATAAGATGAGCAAGATCGTGATGCAAGCTGATAGAAGACAGGTAAATAACGCCGCCTTATGGCCTGGTGAAATGGAGTGTGACCGAGAGAGTTCGGATAATCTGGATTCCAGCAAAACGGTGGATTGATGACGAGACTAACACATCGACTGGCTGATTGATGAACAGCAAACTAAAGTATGATACAAGAAAAAAGCACTATCAACTGGGTGAAGCATACGCATTTTGAAGCAATCATTTGCCAATTTACTTTCTTGTTATACTTTAAATGAGTTAACTTTGCAAACTTGCTACCTCACATAGTTTTTACTGAGTCTCTCTAATCATTCACACAGAAATGGTCATGAATGTATGAAAACGGAACAGCCGTAGTCATTTTGGAGGTTGCAGGTATCGAATTTCGCGAGTTGTACGGATTATACTAACGCAAGATCTTATACCAACAACTTCTATAGTGTTCGTTCTTCGAGTACCAAATGGTAAAGCAAAAGACCAGATTTTGTCGTCCAAAGTACGTATTATATTTCGGGACAAAATCGCGGGTAGAGGTGAATGCTTAGCTAGCTAGTAATCGTGCACGCACGTGACACGACGGAGCACCAAATGGCGGGGATGTTTGACCGTAAGCCTTCAGCTAAACAAGTCGACTTAAACAGTGATGGTCAGCATCCAATGTTGAGTGATGATTGTTGTGGTTAATAATTTTGGGGAATTATTTACCGCTACAGCTCACTCCCCCCCCTAGTGGGTTTGTGAGGACCCTAAGACATGACCAGCCGGAAGTAAAAAAATCTCGATGGTTCCCTGATGGGTGAAAAAAATCTTCCGAGCGGCTTGATCGAGAGCCTGCTGGTCTGTCTGCCTATGCTAATAGGGTGTCTGTACATAGCTTCCTCAATGTTGTTCGTTGGATCCCGTGCTTCGTTTGTTTCCTGTCCAGTGCCCGTTGCACCTGGAAAAGAAAACAATAATGCTGAGAACCTTGTCAAGAAAAATGTACCAAATAAGCGTTTTTTTTACCAAAAAAAAATGACATGCATCTACTATACGGTAAAATAATGTAAAGTTCAAAATATCGGGAAAAAAATATACATCTAATTTAATTTTATGTACGGTTATAGGAAAAATATCATTTACTTGTGTTAAATGACGCAACATAAAAAAAATTGACGTGTCACTCAGTTATGTGAAATAGGTGTGAAGGTATTCTGGGAATCTAACGTGACGTCCAGAACGCGTTTTCTTAGAGGGATCGACCGAAGTAGCCAGTGGGCGAATGCCCTGACAGTCAATAGTGTGACCCAGAAAATCGAGTGAGTCAACGCCTATTTAACACTTCTGTATATTGATGGTAACACCATGTTGGCGTAACCTTTCAAATGCCAAGTCCAAGTGTCTAAGGTGAGTTTCCTTATTTGGACTGGCAATGAGGCAGTCGTCTAAGTATGCGTATACAAAGTCGAGACCGCGAAATACTTCATCGATGAAGCGTTGGAATGTTTGGGCCGCATTCCGGAGGCCGAATGGCATACGTAGGAATTCAAAAAGTCCGAAAGGCGTGATGATAGCCGTTTTCGGAATATCTTCCGTTGCCATCGGGATTTGGTTATACGCTTTAACCAAGTCGATTTTGGAGAATATAGATGCTCCAGATAACGTTGCCATCAAGTCGTGTACGTGAGGCAAAGGGTAGCAATCAGGAGTTGTTTTGGCGTTCACTCGCCGGTAATCACCAGTGGGTCGCCAATCGTTACTATCCTTTTTCGGTACCATATGCAACGGGGATGCCCATGGACTATTCGATGGCCGAATGATGCCAAGGGTGAGCATATGATCGAATTCGTTTCTGACAATTCTCAGTTTGTCAGGGGCCAGTCGTCGTGCTTTAGATGTCACGGGCTGTCCTGAGGTTATGATGTGGTGCATAACATTGCTGGTTATACACGGGAGATCGTTAGATGGGCATTTCAGTTCCGGATATTTGTCAACAATCGGTTGAAAAGTTGGATCGAGGATTGCTTTCATCTTAACGATTGACAAGCTGGGGCCTACGTAAGTTATGCCTTTGATAGACAAACTAGTAGTGTTGTCAATTAGTCGTTTACGGCGGACGTCTACGAGCAAATCATGATGATTAAGTAGGTCCGTGCCAATGATGGGCATTGTGACGTCAGCGATTAGGAAAATCCACTGAATAGGTTTGCGTAAACCTACGTTCAGATAGACGTACTTCCGACCATAGGTTGCAATTGGTTTTCCATTTGCAGCCTGTAGGTTGAAGTTAGGATCCTTCTGTCGATCTGCTGCTGTAGCAGGAAGGACGCTGACTTCGGCGCCTGTGTCGACTAGATATCTAGTCTGGCTAATTACATCGTGGATGTAAAGTAAGCGGCTAGTGCCACCGGCGACGGTTGCCGCTAACGCGTGCCGGCGGGATAGTTTCCCACAGACTTGGAGGCTTTGCCGAAATCACAAGGTTTTCGACAACATTTCGCTTCTTTGCCATAGGTGTTGTGGTACCAGCACCAGTCAGGATTTTTGAGAGAACGTGTGTTGGACTTAGATCGTCCACGTGCGCTTTGCCGTTGAGGGGATTTAGAACGACGGTAGGAGGAATTGCTAGGCTTGTTGACCTAAGCATCTGCTGGACGGAGTTGATTAACTCTATCATTGCAGAATCCTTACTCGAAGTCTGTTCGGTAACAGAATATACCTCAGTAACTGGCCGTTTCGTTATCTCTAGAATTCTATCTGCAGAGACAGCTAAATCATCCATGAGAACACCCTGAAGTGTCACAAGTACAGTCTGAACTGACTGTGGCAGTTTGGATAAAAATAGTTCTCTAAACAGTCCTTCATCGAACTGACTTTGGCCAATGATCTCTTTCATTCTTGCCAGCATGCTCACGGCTGACTGATCTCCTAACTCGATGTTACGAAACAACTCATCCAGACGTTGTCGATCCGTGAGAACGTTTCTCTTGAGGAGGGATGCTTTGAGCGACTCGTAGGAGTTACTTACCGACATCTATAGCACACAGATCACAAGCACGACGGACGATGGAAGAAGGCAAAGACGGCGGGAAGATACGTTTATTTCAAGCAAAACGAGGATTGAATAGCTCGGGGTACAAGTTACTTATCGTCATTTATAACAAGTTTAGAGAACCGATCTTCCTCTTGCTCTAGCGATGCCACGTTGACGTTTCTTTCTGAAAAAGAAGAAAAAGAAACTTGTTTAGTGGCATTATATTGGTTTCTATTGCGTTACATCGCCTTCTTTCCTCTGGAGGCACTGTCCTCATTGCCAGGCGATGGTATGGTGTATGCAATGCCTCCATCGGTTGGCACCTCGACGTAGCTGGTAGCGGGTGGCGGTTGCGCGGATGGATCTGGTTCCGTGACGGCTGCTGGATGATGTGGTTTCAGCTGATTATAATGTGCTGTGACTAGCTTCTCTTGAGGGTGTCGCAGATGCCGCAGGACGTACGTTGTGGGGGTCGATGCCGGACGATCTCATGAGGTCCTTGCCAGGGAGCGTAGAATTTGGGGCACGAACCGGCCGGAACGGATGGTCGATGAAGCCAAACATAATCGCCAGGCGAGTAAGTGGGGCCGCGTGCAAATCGGTCGTAAATATTCTTCTGGTGGTCGGACGAAGACTGTAGATGGCGACGTGCCAAGTTGTAGGCGACCTCTAGGTGGTGGCGAAGACGTCAGACATAGGGAATGCAGTCGATTTTCTCGTATGGTAACAGTGGCGTTTGAATCTCGACTGGGAGACGGAGTTCGTGTCCGAACAATAGCAGAGCTGGGGAAAAGCCCGTAGATGAATGCACGGAAGAGCGGTATCCTAGCAAACACTGGGGCAGGACCTCATCCCAGGTATTCTCCGGTGCGTTGCATAAGAAGGCACGGACGAGGTTCTTAATAGTTCTGTTGGTGCGTTCGACGAGTCCATTACCCTGTGGGTGGTATGGCGTAGTGTGGGTCTTCCGGATACCAAAGGTATTGCAGATGTTAGCGAGAAGATGACTCTCAAATGCGGCGCCTGGTCAGAGTGTAGATAAAGAGGGGCACCAAAGCGGGACACCCAATTGTCTATGAACGCGCGGCCAATCGTCAAGGCATCTTGTTGTTTCAAGGGGACGGCTTCGCACCACTTTGTGAAGTAATCGACCATGACAAGGATGTATCGGTTGCCGTGTCTCGACGTTGTTATTGGCCCCATTACGTCTACCCCAACTCGGTGGTTAGGCGCCTCGGTAAGCATCGGTACTAACGGTGCTCGGGGGGATGCTTGGGGTTGTTTAATCTGCGCACACGTAGCACAGTTGCGGCAAAATTCAGTCACGTCGTGATGAAGAAGTGGCCATCGAAAGCGTTGACGGACGGCGTGCTCGGTTTTTCGTTGGCCAGCGTGACCCAGTTGCTGGTGTACAAGATGTATTACCTCCGGAACTTTCAAACGTGGCACGAGAAGGAGAGGTGATGATGGCGGTTCAACTATATACAAAACGTTATCAATCAGGCGTAGTATCCCCCACTTACCGCAGATGCATTTGGTTGCATCGGACAGGCTCTGTAGTTCTTTATTCGACGGTTTATCGTTCCCGTGAAGCTGTCGGGAGTAGACAAGTTGAATTT